GGATGTGCTATGCTCAGTTTAAGTAGGGTATTTTCCCAAAAAACAGGAAGAAGCTTTTATCTCAGCCCTACATGCTGTAATCTGACCCACTCTCACCATGCATTTTAAGGGTCTTGGCCCATAGACATACACTACAGGCCAAAAGTTTGGATGCAAGATCAGATTTGTACAAAAAAAGATCATAGTTTCATATATATAATTTGCAACACAATAAACATGACTATTGTGTAAAGAGTAACTTATCAGAAGACATTTTGACTATAATTATTAGGTATTTGAGTTATTGTTGCTTAGACTTTGCTTTCTTTAAAGTAACCTCCTCTGGCTTTAACAACAGCTTGGCATATACCAGGCATTTGTTCCAAGTTTTTTAAGGTATGTTCCAGGGATTGCATTACAAGCTTCCTTAAGTTCATTGAAAAGAGACTGCTGATTCGTGGGACGCGTTTTTCTGATCGATCGATCCAATTCATCCCGTACAAGCTCAATTGGAGAAAGGTCTGGAGACTGAGGGGGCCAAACCATCTTTTGAAGAACACCGTCCTCTTCATTTTTGTCTAGGTAACCCTGACAGAGCTTGGCAGAGTGCTTAGGGTCATTGTCTTGCTGCAAAACAAACTTATGAGCCACAAGTCTGAGTCCAGATGGAACAGCATGGTGCTGGAGGATGGAGTGGTACTGTTCCTTCTTCACGATACCCTTTACTTCAAACAAATCTCCTACTCTATAACCTGCAAAACATCCCCATACCATGGAACTACCACCTCCATGCTGAATTGTGGGTGTAACACATGGTGCTTTTAGACGTTCACCAGTTTGTCTGCAAACATAGACTCTGTGTTTTGAACCAAACACTGCAAACTTGTTTCTAGTCATTATAAGTCCAATTTTTGTTAGCTTTTGCACACTCGTATCTCTTTATCTTGTTCTGTGGACGAAGTAGTGTTTTTTTGCAGATACACAACCCTTCAGACCAGCCTTTCTCAAACGTCATTTCACGGTTGTCAGAGATATGGGTTTCGAACCTTGTCATGTTGATTTCCTCCCTTAATTTGGTGCTGTCTTTTGCCGATCTCTCTTACTGGTGACAATGCTATGGTCCTCTGCTTTTGTAGTAAATCTCTTTCGTCCAGGTCTTTTTCTATCATCATAACTTCCAGGTTCCTCTAGTCTCTTCAGAGTTAAGTGGACTCCTTTGTTAAACACTTCTAGGCGTTTGGCAATTTCTCTTTCTGTGTACCCTTCTTTCCTCAATGTACAAATCTGTACTTTTGTTTCTTTACTCAGTTGCTTCTTTCTAGCTATTTTTGCGGTAGTTTGAACGCAGTTGAGATTTATTAGGATTTTTGTATGCAGACTCTCAAAAGTCAAAAAGTTGAAGTGAATAATCCAACTGTGATTTATTATTATTATTTTTTTTTTGCTTTTGCACTGAAGTTGTGACTCTTGTGAATGTTTTCAACCCTAAAACTAAGCCCTTATTATCTTTTGCTGACATATATTTAGCAATGGTCTGTTAACATCAATGTATATCTAAAGGTAAATGGAGTAAAATGGTGCATTTCCATGAAAACAACATCTGATCATGGAGTAAATACATCCCAAAATACATGAAACTCATGCTGGATTTAAAAATGCATTGTGAACAAAAACTACTCCCAACTGTTCGGCCTGTAATGGCCTTGCTTCCAAACTTTTGGCCTGTAGTGTATATGTGGTAATACTAGATCACAGCCGTAGCCCCCTCTTCGGGCTGAAGGAAATGTCATGCCACCACTGTATGGACTAAGTTCCAAGACTGTTCAACATATCTGCACCATACTTACTCAGTACTATTATACTCACCATACTTACAGTTACAGTAAAATGCCCTTATTTCCAAAGCATGGTCATGTAAGCATGCCAGATGAGCACCAAGACTCTTCCACTACGGAGCAACACTTGCAATACTTGCAACATGTGGTTTGATATTGTCTTGCTGATATCTGAAAGGTCTGCCCTCAAAGAGGAGTTGTCTGAGTAGCAGTGTGTGTCGTTCCAAAAATGTTATACATTGTTGAGGCTGATTGTGCTTTACCTGATGTTTAAGCTATCTATGGGCATGGTCATTTCTTCATCCGCATATCATGACAGTGCACTGATAACAAGCCTTGCGGTCCCTCTCCTCTGAAAAGCTGAAGACAGCCTGATTTCCAAAAATAATGTTAAATTGTGATTAATCAGACTACAGGACAGTATTCTACTTTGCTTCAGTCTATGGATGTAGGCCTAAAGAAGGTGCCAGCGTTTCTGGATGATCTGGTGGGTTTTTGGGGTGATTTTGAGCCCATGCTCAGAATGATTTCCCCAATTGAATGAAGCTTATTTTGATGCACCGCTGCCTGAGGGCTCAAAGATCATGTCCATCTAGTGCTGGTTTTCAGGCTTGTCCCTTTCCAGGTTTTTGGATAATTTAATTACTTATATGATGTAAAATTCTTTCAAATTTTAAGCTGAGGAACATTATTCTGAAATAGTTGAGCCAGGCCTATTTGCTCACATAGTCTGTCAGAGTGATGAACCTCGTCTTGTCAGCCTCCATAGAAATGCCTTTGAAACCCAATTGTGCTACTCATTGTTACCAATTAACATAACTAGTTTGGTGATGTTAGGTCAGGCATTTTCTTTTTTTCTTAGCATAGTGAACTTGTTCGAGATTTTGTTGTCCCAGTTCCAGCTTTTTTGGGAGAATTTTTTATAAAACAAAATCTTTCAGTTTCAGGAATTGGTATGTTTTCTTTATCCCATTTCCAATTAAAAACAGGGTCTTAACGATGTGAAAACCATCATATTCTGTTTTATCAGCATATCACGCAGTGTCGTTCTTGGAATTGGGGTTGTACATCTGAGTTCTCTGGTTACAACATAGATCCGTCTGTTTGTGCAGGGTTATGAATGTTCCAGTATGGGGTCCTTGGACTCTATGGGGGCATGTTCTATGGATTAAGATGCTCACCAGCTGATAAGACCAACTGGATCAGGAAAATGATCAAATGAGTTGTGGATAATTGAGGTCCCAGGGCACTCTAGATGACTATCCGTCTGCAGGAACTATGAACTATCTCCTGTCTCCAAACCAAGATTCAGGTAATTACACTTTATCTGAAAGTGTAGATAGAAGTTCCCCAACAGTCAGAGCTCATTATCCTGAACAGCTCTTCAGGTGAATTTCAGAGCAGCAAAGCCGGGTAGGGTCAGTACCAGCCACTAGTTTGTGTTGCCAGCCGCAACAGGAGGTTTCATACCTGGAGGATCCTGGTGGACACATGGGTCACACATGCTGCTTGAAAGCCCTTTGGCAATGAAACTGGTCTTAAATGAGAACAACTGCTGAAAATTAAAGCCAAAGATCTTCTTCTCTAAGTGATACAAGGTAAGAGAAGAATACACTTTGCTGATAATGTCAGACAAAATACAAAGCCTAATCATCAAAATCTTATTTTTATCTTATTTTTAAGTGTTTAAGGTGTAATTCTGATACAGAGCTGGATAAGGTGGCGCTACTTTATTTGTAAAGCTTAGTTAATGTTATGAGAAATTTTGGGACAGATGTCTGTGGGGTACAGAAATTCACATGGTTGTTCTTTCAAACAGGAAAAAGATAGAAACCAGACTTTTTTGATTGTTTTTTCCATCCATTGGACCAAGAGTGAGACTTAAGCCTTACAGTGTCCTTTCCATCTCATATTTCCTATTCTCAGGATCCCTGCATGTCCTCTGCCAGGGTCACTCTGCAGTGATCCCATCACATATACAGCAGTCCATATGAACGCTTGGACAGTAAGGTCCAGATAATCCCATGAAACTCTACGAACTTTGCTCCCTTTTTCTTCGCTCTTTCTGTGGAGTGGGAGTCCTGTGACCAGGAATCAAAGTTTGAGGGATCAGGTAGGAGGTCGGCAGCAGCACGCAGCCCCACCGAGCAGATTGCCTGCTGCTGTGCTGACTGAAGACCCCTGCACACAAAGCATGAAGAGTGTGGATTCCCGAGGCCAAAGGCCCGCATGGTGGGCTCAACGGTCCCCAACCAGCGCAGGGAGAAAGGAACGGCTCAGTCAGCAAGCCAGGGCCACTGGAGCGATGAAAAGATAATTCCCACCCCCCCTACAGCCACTGGACCTCATGCGGCGTCAAACCATTTGTGAGCAGTGACACAGCCAGATTGGGCCGAAAGGATATGAGTGGGAAACTTCAAAACCTGCTCATGTTTCTGCGAACGTGAAAGGATTTGTATAACACATTCAGATTTGATGGACTTTCCCATGTTCACTCTGGACAGCCCTTTTTTGTTGACATGTTCAAATAATGAATCTCTTATGTGTTGGAACTCTTTTCCCCGCCTGCTCCTGAGTCCTGTTTCTAGTTGCCGGGAAGGGATGCTGTGGGGACCATTCCATCGTCTGTCCCAAGCTTATGGAGAACCGCTGACTTGCTGGCTTTCAGGAACCAGGGTGAGTGGATCTTCTTCTTCTCTGCTGATCTTCCTCAGGTGGTCTGGAACGCCACCACCTGCCATCAGAGTTAAAGACGCTTTGACTAAATTGATGCAATTACTCCTTGAATTTAGATGGATCCCCAAGATAAAGACTCTCTATCAGAAAATGACAACCATTATGTGATAGGAGACTGTCATAGGACAATGAGCTGTGTCTGACAAGATATGCTAATACAATGTAAGGACATGATTGAACATCATTTCTTAGTTTTCTTCTTCTTGATTTTAAGTTACCAAGCTCAAACATAATGTAATGGGACATTTGTTTGCTTAGATTATGCTCAGCAGGTAATAGAAAAATGCTCCTCTGAGGACAGATCATTGACGTCTCCACAGGAAGTATTCTTCTTTAATACCAGGAGACTTGCATAAGACTAGCTCAGAAGTTTCCTAGATAATACAATAAATAAATAACAGATTTCATTTTCTTTTTTGTTTACTTATTGTCAATGGTCTGTTCTCCAAAATGACAAGCGACAGGTACTGACCCAATTTATTGCATTAAGTGCCTTTTTTTTTGCTCTGTTTCAGGTGCTGATATGGAACATATACTTTTGAGTCTTTTAATATTTAGTAAAGCTTTGTCTGTTGGAGCTCAATTCAATGGATTCAACTGTGATGGCAACTTTCACAGCCGCTTCCCAGGTAGGAAAATCAAAATTTACATATTTATACCATTGTGTTCGATAAACTGCACTGAGAGGACATGTAAATACAATCCCAGTTTCAGAAAAGTTGTAATGCTGTGCAAAATAAAAACAGAATCTGATGGTTTTTCACTCACTCAAACTTGAAAAGGTGCAAAGTCAACAGCAAATGTTGAAACTGGAAGATTTTACTGTTTAATTAAAATATATGCAAATTATGAAAACTGGTGGCAACATATGTATACATATTATATACACATATTAAAAATGCTCGGACAAGGGCATGTTTACCATTGTGCTGCATCACCTCTTATTTTAACACTCTGTAAATGTTTGGACCAGTTTCTGGAGCTTGGAAAGTGAAATGTTGTCCCATTTTTGTCTGACATAGAATTTCAGCTGCTCAACAGTTCAGGCTCTCCTTTGTATTATTTCCTGTGATGGGCCAAATATTTTCAATGGGTGACAAGTCAGGACTGTAGGTGGGCCACCCTACCACCTGCACCCAATTTCCACTGTTTCCTGGAAGTGGTTTTAGGCCAATAGGGCAACTTCCACTACAGAGTCATGCTTTTTTTTTTCCTTCCAAAGCAGGGCAACCTAAGGGCCAAATGATCACTACCATCAAGCATTAATTTTTATCCCTTGAACAGAGATTTCTCCAGATTATCTGAATCTTTAAATGATAGAGTGCAGACAAGAAAACAAATTCTTTGTAACTTGAAGCTGAGGGATATTATTTTGAAGAATTTGGAGTACTGGAGTTATCAGTTTTAACTAACAGAGTGTTAAAGCTCTTTCCATTATTGTTCATGCTCATTTTATACCCAGTCATGGCACTGATCAGATTCAAATTAAACCCATTAGTAGGGAGATGCTCCTCTTGCTGTTTTTAAGCATTACACAACTTTTTCAAAACTTTATGTTCCAACTTTTTAGAAATGTGGTGCTGACATTAAATTCAAGAGGAGCACATTCCTTTCATAAAGCAATAACATTTCTCAGTTCAAACATTTGACATGTTGCCTTTACAGTGCTTCAATTTAAATAGGTTTTTAATATTTTGCAAACCAGTTGAATCTGCTTTTGATCAAAATGTTGTATACGACATTATAAAAATTTGGGGTTGTACCCCAAAGGTTTAATTTTCCACAGTTTTACTGCTGATTTTAAATAACTTAAACACAATTTAGTACAAATGTTTTGCTCTGTTATCTGGAACTATGCTTAGTACCCAAAAATATAAAAATGCTGATATGTTTATTTAATGTAACTAAATATAATGTGACTCAATGTGTCTTACAGCGGAAAGGGATATCAGTGTGTACTGTGGAGTGCAGACCATCACACTCAAGATCAACTTTTGCCCTGTCCTCTTCTCGGGCTACACCGACACTGACCTGGCCCTCAATGGTCGCCATGGAGATGCCCACTGCCGCGGCTTCATCAATAACAACACTTTCCCTACTGTTGTCATCTTTAGTATCAGCTTGGCAACACTGGAGTCCTGTGGCAACTCCCTGGTGGTAAGAGTTCATTTTTGTGTATTAAGTATTAAGCAGTCAGAGACACTCCATAAAGCTCAGGACAGAGGTAAGATTACAGGGTGTAATTTTCAGCTGATAATGTGGTACTTAAGACAGCTGAGGTGTATTGTATTATATGCAGCTTTTATGAGGTATCATTAAGTAGATAGGGTATATTTTGCCTTAAGAGTTGTTAAGGTTCCGCTGGTAAATGACTTATTGTCTTTTATGATTCTACCATATTCACATCATGCAGGTGTCTACGGCTCAAGGACCCAACGCTTATGGAAACCTGTCACTGGTGCAGATTGGAAATATATCGGGCTACATCGACACACCAGACCCTCCTGCAATTATCAGCTACCTGCCAGGTCTGCTGTACAAGTTCAGCTGCAGTTACCCACTAGAATACCTGGTCAACAACACACAGCTGGCCTCGTGAGTCTCACATGGTGATTTTCCTGTTTACATCAATTTAAATGTGTGCTGGAAGAAAGGCGGCATACATTGGAAACTTATGTTAACCAATAGTCCTGAAGAATTTGAAAATCTTTCTGTAGTTTCACGTCCTTACAACTGCAAAGGCAGATACAATGACTAAATAACGAAAGTAGTTATCTTAAAACATAGCTACCACTCCTTATCCATTTATTATTCATTTTTTTATTATCAATCAGCTTTCTGTCTTTCACAAACTCAAGCAAAGTATGTCAACATTTGAATTTGCAAGTAAAAATGGAGAGCAGGAGAAAAAGGAGTAAACAGTGCAGCCCAGTTTTGTTGTTTTCCTGCAGAACTGGACTGCTTTTTAGGTGCTGCTTTAGGTAGATTTTTTTTTGTCCATAGGTTAAGTGGAACTTTTTAAATCCAAATATATTAAAATCTTCCTTTTATAAGGAATTGGGGATTTGGTCTTTTTTTCTTGTAGGTCAGCAGCTGCAATCTCAGTGAAGGACAGCAATGGTACTTTCATCAGCACCTTGAACCTCCTGCTGTACAATGTAAGTCCACCCTAGTGTACTCCAGATATCAGTTAACTTACTTCATTTTGTAAGCTGGAGATAGAAAAGGAACAAAGATATACAGAAAAACCTGCACCTAGCTATTAGCCTTTCTGTCTGTTATTGTAAGAGTTCTGTGAGTGGTGATAAGTGTTGTGATGAGGAAGATAAATAAGGCTCAAAAACCTTTTTATGCTGCTCTGGTGGGCAGAAAATGACCCTTAATCCATCCATTAAAGAGGATTATACTCAGTTTACCCTTACCCATTTCAGATCTTTTAGCAGCCTAATTCGCTTATCAATTGAACCTCGCAGTCAGGGGGACTCTATTGCAGCCAGATTTTAGATATGTGGGGATTTATGAGCCAAAGTGGCACTGTACAAATCTGTCACAACAAAAGAAAGGACAGAGTCAAGAAGTCTTACGAATACACAAAATTACCACCATGATTTGTGTCCAGGACTCATCATACCTCCAGCAGCTGTCCATCCCCATGGCAGGACTGACCCTGAAGACAAGGGTGTTTGCAGCTGTGAGGGCTGCTAACCTGGACAGAAGGTATGACTCAATAAACAGTCATTTAGTTTAGGTAAAGCTCCAGCAGCTTACACTCTCTTTTTGACAAAACTATGGGGTTTTAATGTGACGCTTTCGCAGGGGCACAACATATTATAAATTCACTTTATGCGGTAAACTGTCATTTATATTCTAACTGGTTACTGAACTATTTTAATGATAGTAAAAAATCATTTTTGTGCTTTTCAAAACACTCAGTGTTACCATAAAAAGACAGAATCTCACAAAATGAACAATGTAAAAAGTAGATAAATATTTTTAACAAGACAAAATGCTGTGCATAAAATCATTACGAATGAGGGAAATGGTGTAAGGGAGGAAGTAGGTTTGGTGTACAGGTACAGCTGGGTGTCACTCATATAGCATTGGAGATGGATGTTAAATCTATGGAGAAGATATGGCCAGGAGGAAGTAGACAGATGATAGATAGACAGAGCCCCAGGAAAGTGCCCTGAGGAACACCAGTGGTGTACCAAACAGCCAGACGTTTTTGGAGTTTTGAGTTTAACGAGCTGAGTGCTAGAGAGATATGATTTAGACCAGTCCAGAGGTACGCCAGTGAATTCAAAAGAGTCTAGCCTGTCGAGAGAAATGTTGTCAAAGGCCAAAATCAGACCAGGAAAGATGAGAATAATTAGAGCGGTTGGAAGCCAGACTGGAACTGGTAATGAAGGTTTCTATCAGACAAGTTTGCACGAACATGAGAGAAAACTACTTTTTTAAAGGGATTTTAGTGGAAAAAGAAGGTTAAAAAGAGAGAGTGAGACTGAAGGAACCAAAAAGAGAGGAAATGTGGGAGGTTGGATGTCAGTTGCTGTTAAATCTTGTCTAACTTGGTTTTAATGGAAATTAAAGAAGATGATTGGTACATCACAGTTTAAAATAGCCATACTTACTGGTTGTGTAAAAAAAAGTATACTCAGACTATATGAGGACAGCAGGGATCACATTTATAAAAACGGCATAGGCACTATACTAAAAATGAATATATGCCAAAAACTCAGAAACCTAAGGAATGGAATACCAATTCATTATAAAAGCAATAAAATATAAAACAGTAGTTTTCACTCATTTCTGTTTCATCAGTGAGGAGGCTCACAAATTAAACAAAAACTAGTGAATGACTTTCCTTGACGCTGCAGCATTCCTGTAGTTTGGCAGTGGTGCCAGAACATCCACCATTTGTCATTGCCCTCAGGTGTCACTGCAGTGTCTCCATGTTAACAGGACCTCAGTGATTTTTTTAACATAATGCAAGAGTGCCCACACGTGTCAGTGGTTATGTAATTCCTTGTTTCTGATTATATTTGACAGAAGTCTAATCTATGTAAGTTTCTGTATGCTGTTGTTATCATGGTCAGCATTGCCTGTGCTTTCACTAATTATGAAGCTATATCCTAATGTTGTGAGAACTTCTGCATTTTGCTTAATAACACAACAAATATGGAAATTTGTTAGAGATTTGGTAGGTGACAAGAGGGTAGTTAGACATCAGCATGTGGTGTGTACAGTGAAACAAACAGCAAACATTTGCCTTTTTTTTCTTGCTTCAATATGCACTTGAAAGTTGCTTCAGTTGGACAGATAAACTGTGTTTTGATTTGGTTTTTAATAGATGATTATAGAAAATCAGAAGTGAAGAGTTATTGGAAGAGTTTGGTTCATTATTTATCATGGCGTTTTTTGTTAGTGACACCAACTTCACGATTGCATGTCAAGGTTTAGCTATGCCTACCAGAATCTTTTACTAAGTGTATAAAAAAATGTTGGTTAGCTTGTCATTGATACATGTGTAAGTAGTGTGCCGCATGTTGTTTCATTCTCACTTATTCCTTTGATAGATGGAATATTCTGATGGATTACTGTTACACCACACCCTCTGGAAACCCAAATGATGAACTCCGCTACGATCTTTTCTTTAGGTAACTACAACGTGAAAACAGATCTTTGATTTTATTCAGTTTTGGCTCTCTTTATATCTTTGTTCACTATGCTATTTTACTTTTCTTACTTTGGCCCAGCTGTGAAAAAGACCCCCAGACCACTGTCTTTGAGAACGGGAAGAGCCAAATGGGCCGTTTTTCCTTTGAAGTATTCCGCTTTGTGAAGCACAAGAACCAGAAGATGTCTACAGTCTTCCTGCACTGTGTCACAAAGCTGTGTCGAGCAGATGACTGCCCGATGCTCATGCCAGTGAGACAATAAGAACACGTGATGTGACAGATAACGCACAACACACAGATTTTGTCAATATGTGACTTACACCTGTTTCAAGCATCATGCCATTAGAGAAGCATGTGACAAAGACTACATTCATACTGCATGCAAAGTGACCCAAATCTGACTTCTGTTTTGCTAACATGAAACATTTATGATATTTGGTTTGACAATGTCTCACAAAAAAGGCCACAAACAGACATCATATCCACCATTGTGTGCATTAATACTGTGATATGAGAAAGTGGAAGCTACCAGAGGAGTTGAACTTTCTTTGCCGCTTTCTTTTAGATCTGTGGGAGCAGGAAAAAGAGAGATGCACAAGAGAGAAGGGACTCAAACATTGCAACTGGAAATGCCGTCCTGACTGCTGGGCCTATCATCACACGCAGTGGTATGACTCTGTTTTTTCTCAGTATCTGTCTCCCTCCAAAACCTTTCCTTCAACATCAATCAATAGTACTTTTTTGTCTGAGGTGAAATTAAACTGTATGATAACAAACAGAGAAGTACTTACAGTGGAGTTTAAATTAGCAAAGATATTACATAAAATTGATCCTTGTTTTATCTGAGGTTTCACTTTGTTGAAACATATTTCAACAACTCTGACATTTAAAAAAGTATCTTAGGGACATCCTGTTGACTTGCTTTGTACAAACTATATCACTGAGCAGTACAGTATTCAGAGACACACTGATCACCAGATTTTCTCCTTTTTACTACAGAAGAAACACCGACCAACAACTCTCAGCTGGGTAAGTCTTCACACCTTACTCATTGTTCACAGAGACACGTGTACTTTGCTCTGGTATTAAGACATATAAGGTTAATGTTATAAATGGTCTTTGACACTGCTGGCAGCTGTACTAGCTGAAGCCATTTACCCACAGTCCTTTTACACTTTAATATCCCTGATTCCCACAGTGACCATTTTCATGTTCAGGGTGGAAAATTCCTATATTGTAATAATATATTGTAACTGAGTCACAGGTCCTCTTATGTATTTGTGTTTGTGCTGTTTCAGCCCATCTAACAGCTCCAGGGTTCCAAATGAACACCGTGACCAGCGCGCTCATCTCTGGTGTGATCATCCTGGGTGTTATGAGCACTTGCTTCTTTATCTTTTCTCTCACCCTCCTCAAAGGCAAGAGCACACCCATCAGCACTATGTCAGGGGCCCGCAACCCAGCTTTCAGCTGAGCACCTGAACAGACCATCACACACTCTGTCATGTCTGAAAATGCTGACAAATGTGGGACAGATGTGACAGGATATTTGTGAAAGTAGTCATTTTACAGGAAAGTAAAGGCTAAATGTTGGTATAGAAAAATGTTAACAGATACAGATTTCATAAGCATAGAAGTGAGGCAGAAAATGTAATGCTTTGTTTTGTAGTTCTATTTCAAACCTTGGGGCAGGTCATGCCTTGACATGTGTAAGATCATTTGTATTGCATCTTAAACCCATGTAGACCAGACTTAAACTGAACTTGATCCAGTGCCTCAGCCATACAGCCATTGAAAAAGGTTACTAAAGAGAGTGAGCAAAACTGTGTAAAGAACCTTAGAGATCAAGAAGTTTAAAAAATAAGCACAGGGCTTGAATGTAAAGCCCAAAGCTTTCTTGACATAAATATTAACTGTATGATCTTGATGTTATAATTGGGTAAATATTTAATTTATTAATGTTGCTACATATTACTATCATGAGTAATTAACTGATAGATTTGATGTACCTTTATTTTATATTGCTTACTCACTCACTTTTTATTTTTTATGCAACAAGGCAGCAATAAACTTGTTGGTAAAGTTTCAGTAGTATATCTACCCATTGTAATTGTGATAAACTTTCCTAAAACGTATTTTTTTAATGACATTGATGATCTGTTCCTGAAATGTGAAAATTATGGAGAGTTGTGCTACTGCAAATATTGCACTTTGACTTGCCCAGTGTCATATTTCTGAGCATATGGTACAAAAGTCCTCATTGACTCCAGAACAGAAGACAATTCAGCAACTATAATTCATACAATACCACTGAGTACAATGTCCTTGACTTGTGGCCCCACCCCCTTTTGGTTGAAAGCAGTCCATCTGAAATGACACCAAATGGGAACTCTGGGGTTTTTGGCAATTCAATATCCAAAAAGTAAGATAACTGTAAGAACTAATGGTTTCCTGAGAGCCTAAATTTAGACATCTGTGATCTAATCTGTGATCAGTAACATAACCTAAAAAATAGAGGTTGATAGGTTTGCATGACTGCAATGATGGAGCCAAACATTTTTCACTGAGTTGGCCCAACGACGGCACGGACGAGAAGTGAACTGGTGTGAAAAACATTTGGGGGACCCCAAACCTTGGAGGGGTTATCACTAGTAACAATATGACCAAAACCAAAACGATGTTTTATTCTTGTGTCATTTGTAACTTATAGAGGCAACTCAAAAAAGTGACAACATTGAAGTGCTGACTCTGACAAGGCAGAAAGCCAACCATGGTTTTAGATTTCAGGATTGCCAATCAAATGTTTCGGGTGGCCACGGCCACCTCTGTCCACCCCTTTGCTTCACCATTGCATGACTGTCTTTCCATCATGCTTCCATCAAACTGGATGATCAAGGCCCTCTTGTGAAATCACAAAACTTTTGTGTTTATTTTAATTGTGTTACCACAGTTGGGTCTGAATTTATCAATTGTATTTATTTGCAATGGTGTCTTGGATTATACAGAGTAGTAGTTGAGTAGAAAATACTAATGTGGAAATAAATATTAACCATGGAAAGCCATGTTGTGCCACAGTGTAAACAGGCAGTAGTGAAATGTGTCTCAATTCCTTTTTCACATATTGCTTTGGCTTGACTATATGATATCAAAAACACTGCCTAGAATTCGGGGTAAAGCTTACTCTGTGTCCCAAAAGTCTTCAATGATAAGTCCCTGCTCTTTAACTCTGAGTTGAACTGGAAGCAGTTTCAAGTCCACCACATTAAGGCAGCTCTAAGTATTTATTGATTTTATTTTGATATATTTAGATCTTAGCTTTGGATTGCAGTTTGCAAAGAAGTCATAATAAAATACATGACCCACTGTTTTAAACTCTGTGTCATAAGTCTTCATAGAGCAGTAAGCAGGACACTCTATTGTTTTGGTTAATCTGCTGTAAAGGTCACCAATGTAAATTTATCAGTCAGAAAGCTACACCCACCCATTATCTTTAAGAAAAGTAATTAGGGGTCAAATTGCTTGGTTTTTCTCCTCACATGTACCTTAAGGTAAACTTAAGCATTCACGTGCCTGACATTTATTGGGATTAAGGTGCTGACACTCACACTCTGACCTAAAAAGAAGTGAAATCCATGATACAATGGATTATTTCCCCCCCCAAATGGCCTAGTTAAAGAAGTATATCTGGCCAAATGCGTCATTTCTTGTGCTATCCTTCCTTTTAGCCACCATTATTTGCATCAGTGTTTAAAGTAGAAATATGTCCACTGAATGAAATCATAAAATCACTTGATGCGTCATCAGCAATTAAGGAAACATGCCAGCATATCCTGATAAGTTTCACTTGATCTGTAACAGCCTGTGTTTGTTGTGATCTGAGAAGATAGGCAGTTTTAAGGGAACACCGTGAGGCCATTTTGGACTCCTTTTGGGTTGCCAGAGACCAGACCAGTTATCATTAGTACAAACTAATGGGTGTTGCCTTTAAGATGTAGGTTACCCTATCTGCTATAAACAGCCTTGCATTTTTCGGTAAGTTTCACACCACACACCGAAGCTACTGTCTGTATATAGTTTATATACACTGAAGTAGTATTTTTAATAAATGTGTGTTGTTGTAACTGGCATTATCTTATGCTGAATATGTACAGTAAATATCTAGACCATCATAATATTGGTTTACTGATACCAGCCAAACAATCACCATACCAAAAAGTGTAGTAGGGGTGTAATGGGTCTAATTTATATGAACTGATGTACTGTGACTGGTTGACAAAGCAAAACATGGATGACAACTTCCCCATTGACATAAACAGAGGCCTCCAGGAGACAGACTGTACAAGTATATGATTCCATAGCATTTATGATAACAATGGGGACATTAAGCAACAGTCAAGAGTTTTTTCCAAAGTGCAATACCTTTAGTGTCCTCCAAGACCTAGAATTGTCCCATGGGATCATCTTGTGTCATGACAAAGGATATTTCCGTGGTTGATAGACTTGCCCTTTTAAAGTAAACCGTAGTTTTGTGTGAAGTCAGAATTTTAACACTTCGTGAGGTCTCATGTTAGCTTTTGTATGAAATCTGTATGTCAACAAAAAGAAGCCAAGCTATTGTCTCCTTGAGCTCCTAAAGATCCTTGCTGTGTAGGGTTACACAGATCACCCTGAAGGCATGGACTGTGGCACTCCCTATGCCAAAGGTTTGTTCCTATAGACTAAAGTTAAGGTGGAAAACCCAACACTGACCTTGTTTTTGACCAATCCTAAGACAGGGTCAAAGCTATATAAGAAGACTTCACAGCTTTTTAGGGGTTGAGCAATCGACAGGAGAAAAGGAGCAATGGCTGCAGGACAGTCAGGTCAGTGCCAAATCAAGTAACAACAATTACGTTGATAAAAACTTGTGTTCTGTTTCCATGTAAGTTTTTTTTTTTATCGTCACAGGTATGTCCATCCCATGGGAGCAGAGAATAAGTCTAAGTTTCGTCTTTGTGGTATCTTTGGTAGCCAGATGTAGTGCACTAACATGTCAGAGTGACCTGCGGCTTCCAGGTACAGCATCTTTCCTTATGCTTTTTATCATGTTTTCATGTTATCTCTTACCTTTAAGTCAGACCTTTAAGACTCTATGTCCTCAAGCACAGTTTATTTTTGAAATTACTTCAAGTGACTGTGATTGCCAATCTTACCCATTTACAGAATACACAGACATTACAGTTGACTGTGGCACATCTTCAATTGAGCTGGCCATACAAATCTGCCCTGTTGTTTACACTGGCTACAACGAGTCTTTGCTCATCCTCAACCACATGTTTGACAAGCCGGAGTGTAAAGGAACCCTGGATGAACTTGCCACCCCACCTGTCGTCAGATTCTCCTTTCCAATCAACTCGACCAGCGCTTGCGGCAGTACCTTCAGGGTTAGTAGCTTTGAGGAGGAGCATCCCTTTGGAAAAGTTCTAAGTGTTTTTTTTTTCCCCCTGAAAACATCCACTTAATAACTTTTACCCAAAATGTTTCCTTCAGACCACCAGTGCGGCTGGCACAGGGATCTTTGCTGACTTCTCGAACATCCAGACGGTTAATGTCAGCGGTGTGGTTCGCTCTCATGATCCAACAACAGGGGTCGTCACCTACAACACTGAGCTTAAATATTTTTATTCATGCTCTTACCCCCTGGAGTATCTCATCAACAACACCCAAGTGGATGTGTAAGAACTCTGCTTATATTCCTACAAGGACTTTTTTGAATTGTTTAACATTCATATCTGGACATGTTGATGCTTGAGGAAATATACTTTGTCTTTGACCCCTCTCATGGTAAGACTTCTCTTGTTGCCTATGATAAATGGATTGTTTGGTTTTTAACGAACACAGTTTCATACTGAATGGATTGATGTCTACTCCCTCCTTTCAATTCAATTTAAAAGCATGCTAAATAGCAAAATAAAGGTACAGTTTGTTTCCACTCATGTATATGGAGGTCAGTCAACCTTAAATTCATATATTACTGTAGGAATATCTGTGGTATACAATGGTATTCTCGTCTAGAGGCTTTTAGAACAACTGAATAAATGCAATGGATTTCAGAGAACTGTATGACAAAGGTGCTTGCTTGGCTAGGAGGTAGCTAACCAGCTGATAAGCTGTCCCCTTTCATTCAGTTACCTTTGTCGATTGTCTGGTGAGTTTGTATGTATTAAAAAAGCTTATAATTCAGTCCTAGCACATTAGGACATTGGGCATTAGTTCAGACAGGACATGAGAGACAAGCTCAGCCCATCAGCTTGCAGCTCAGCCAATAACCTTCCTTGCACACAATTGGCAAATATCAGAATGGGTGTTTTACTTCAACTGACTGCTCCTTTGCAACATTTGCAACCCACCTCCACCCTGTGCTCCTCCTTTTATGCTATGTCTGATCTAACCGTTGTCATATGTATTGTTACTGATGCCTGCTTTCTTGGGGTTTTTGCTGCTGCTGCTCTCCCTGCTTTGGCGTTTCATGGAATGCTATTTCTTCAGTATGACATTAAAACACAGTCATGTTAAACTGATAATTCAATCCATCCATAAAGGAATTTCCCTCCTCATGTTGGACGATGAAGTTTATTGATGGATCTAAAGACACTTTGCTCATATTCCATAGGAAATTAAGTGCTAGTTTGGGTCATTCCAGGATTCATTAAAATTTAGTTTAGCACAAAAAATTTAATATTTCCAAATGTGTAAAAATTATAACGCATTTTGTTTTACTAAAAACTGATGAGGATGAGGATTTTGAGTATTTTCCTTTATTAATCTTTGGAAATCTTAACCTGCTAGCTCTTGTTGTTTTCTGCACAAACCACTTTGCCCACCAGCCTCTACCTTTTCTCTTCCTTCTTATCCTGTCAAACTTTATCATTATCATTATGTATTGTCAGTGATGCCTGCTTGATTCTGTACCCTGGGGTATTTGCTGCCACCCTACCTGCCTTGGTTTTTAATGCATGCACATGAATGGCAAGAAGGAGAGGTGTGCTCTTTCCTGCTCCAGACTTTGGCATAATACACATGTGGAAGGCCAGGGACCTGTCAGAACAGAGCCATAGCTACTTCGTGCTAAAAAACATTTCATTTTGAGGAAAGCAATCCTGACTAAACTACTACAGGTGTAATTGCTGTAACAAGGAAACTGAACAGGAAATATTTTAAACTTGTGCAGTCTAGTTTTGTGCCTACTTGCTCTCTCTGACTGTTGAAGATTGAAGGAAGCTGGATAAGGTTGCTCAGAGCATGTAGACTGTCAGTCAGGATACGCAGGCAGGAATATGGTTTGACTCTTTATTGTATGCACTAGCACACCAAAGGACAGGAGGATTCATTGTTAATGTGAGGTCCAAAGAAACTAGAAATGAAACAGGAATGAAATGGTGATAGTCAGAGTCAGAATATAGACGAAGATCAACAGACACCTCTGAAAGAGAGAGATTTAGTTTCTTTTTTAAACAGATGTCTCCTCCATTGCTACCATGTTTGTTGTTGTCATGAAGTTTTGACTCTTCTTTTTTGAAGTGACTCTGATACCCTGATATCAGAGCATAATATTGTTTATCTCTTCATGATTAAAAATCAAAGAAAATTTATGTTTTTAACAATCAGTTACTTGATAATCAAATGTCGGCCTTCAAAAGCTGTATAGCTTGTAAGTAGAAAAATAAATGAAAAAAAAAAAAAAAAAACCTTATTGAATTCCAAAAACAAGCAGTCCATTTATGGACGTATAGATGTAGGTAACAGTGTGTGGTTCCTGCCTTTGTTGCACACATTCATCCTGACCACAGTGATCATGCTGATCTGGACAAATATGTTGACCTGGATGTTCTGTAACAAATATGATGCTCTCTAACATGTCTGAGCCTTTCCTTCCCTGCCTCTTATGCTGGTCTTATGTCCCATGCAGGTCAGCATCCTCCATCGCACTGAGGGACAACAATGGGAGCTTCATCAGCACTCTGAGCATGGAGCTCTTCAGTGTAAGTCCAGACACATGTATATTTTGGGGCAGCTCATGTTCAGTTGTTGGTACTATATTTCTGGTTACCCTGTGTAACTAGCAATGTAAGTAGTAATTTAGTAAGTTGCATTTGATATAGCACTAAACCATATCTATATGTTTGTTACACAAGAAGATGAAATAGTCTGTCGTGTACTTTGTTTCATCTATGCTACTTTGTGCGGATGGAACCAAGTCACTAAAGTTCAACTCAACACAGTTCTGCAGTAAAAGAAATGATAAATAAACAGAACAAATGGTTATCTCTCAAGCTCGTTTGTGGCAAAAAATACAACAACTTTGTTTGCTACAGCTGCTTTTCCCTCTTTGCACAGAGCCCCACGTGCAGTTGACTCACAGCAATCTGCATTAAGAGAGGAGACCACAAGGGGTCGCTGTTTGCTGATGATGTTTCAGTCTATTTAAGTTAACCTTCCAACTCATTTCCTGAATCTACTGAGCAGAGATGTTTGATGCAGTTTAATGTACCGCCTCAGAAAATGTCTGCCTGAAATGGGACAGAATCTACTAAACTATTTGGGAATATATTTATCAACATACATCCACATACTGTTTGAAACAGAAAATTTTACACCTTTAAAAGAAATTAAAGATGACGTATGCAGGTTGAATTCAATTTCTTTTCTTGGGCATAATCATACAATTGACTTTTTAAAATTGAAGTTTCTGGCCCAATATCTTTTCTAAATTCCAAGCGCCCCTGTTTGAATTTCCTCACTTTCAAAATGAGAGAAGTCAATTTAAAGTTTATTTGAAAAAGGGAAAAAACCCACAGTCACTGTGAAGTCACATCTGGACATGCAAGTCACTACAAGATGTTGTGTCTGTGAAACTGTTATCAAATACATGTAGTGTGTGGTTCAGTGGTCTAGAGGATTGTAATGTTAAAAGTGGTAGGATATGTCCTTGTTCAGTGTTCAGTGTGCAGCCAGCCAAAACTGTCTCGGGTGAAACAAAGTTCATCATGGGTGGCTTGGACTCAAGTTGACCCAAATTTGCTCAAGTTCATTATATTGGTGCAGGTTGTTCTTTGAGGCGTGCTTTGAAATACCTCCAGGATCTGTAGCCTTAAGGTGTTGAGAGAATCTATTTCCAGGGAGTAGCCATTATAAGCAGTTTCCTTGCATGGTGACTTAGTTCTCATCTGCAGGAGTTTTTCTGGCACTCACATGAATTGGATTCCAACAATATGGGAGGAGGCTAATGTCAGTTTTTGTGGAGGTGGGCCCTGTGATGCTCAGTGTCTCATTTATTTCTTTCAGTAAAAAAATTTCTTTTGAGTCTCTCCCTGGTGTGATGTTATGTACTACTATGCACTCATCTTCCCTCCCCCAAACTGAACTTAGCCCTAATTTATCCTGAAAGTGGAAAATAACCTCAGGATGTACGTTTCTATCAACAGGATGTCAACTACACAAAGCCTCTAGTGATACCTCCACTGGGCTTGGAGCTGAGGACCAACATCTACGTCCAGGTTCAAGCAAAAAATCTGACTGATCAGTAAGAACATCTTCCTGTTGACTCTCACCATATTTTATAAACTCATATGTTTCAATGGTCCAAAACCCAGAAACAGGGTGAATGAACCCAAATGGAAGCAGACGTTTGCATCTGGTTAAAAGAAATTATTTTAGCATTCCTATCTAATGTTGCTGTTTTTCTCCACAAGGTACAATGTCCTCATGGACCGATGCTATGCTTCCATCTCTCCTTATCCCACCAACTCCTCTTTCTTCAACTTTTTTGTGTCGTAAGTTGACAAATCCTATTCTGAAAGTCTTTGTAAGGCCAATGTGTATTGTGCTTTTATGATATTATAAATTCTATTTATTATGCTAGTATGACTAAAACTGGACTTTTCAATACATGTAAACACTTAGGTCGAACTAAAGCTGCGCTCTGGTAAATTTCTCTCAGACTGCAATATTGTAATGTGATGTAATGCATTGGCCTTTGGTTGAGATCAAGTGTGGCCTCTTACCAACTAGTTTGTTGGCTGTTTTGGTGTATGACATAGTAGCTTTATCAGGAGACAGTCCTATTGCAAGTTGTTGATTGTTGCAGAGGTGGAAAGTACTAAAACAATAGTTTTCTTGCCTGGTGCTTTCATATTGAGACAAGGCTAACTGTAGAGTTAAATCCTCTGGTTGCGCCATAATAACAGTTCCACTTAACTGTACATGCAAACATACTGACTACTCTTTCTTAATTAACACCCAGGTGCTCCAGGGACCAGATGACCACCATGCATGAGAATGGAGACAGTCACCACGCCCGCTTCTCCTTCTCTGCCTTCAGGTTTGTTGAGCAGCAGAACCAGACGGTGTCCACCTACTATCTGCACTGTATCACCAGACTCTGTGAGATCAGCACCTGCAATGACTTTAAGGTCAGTCAAGGATTACATTTAGTCTGTTGCTTCCATTGTGCAGAAAGTTGTGTTTTAACATTTCTGCTTTCATCCACAGCAATGTACAAATAGGAGGAAAAGGGACCTTCGTTCAAATGGTGTTTCGGATGCAACCACCTTATCCTCAGCAATTCCCATTGTCACCAGAAATGATAATTGTGAGTATGGCTGCTTGGTAAAAGTGATCTGAAAACATAAGGAAAAGAAAAACAGAGAGCTTTTGGTGTAGATGTGGCATGGTTAAAATCATTGTTGTAATCTAGCTTTTTTTTTTTTAAACCAATGTCTGTTAATGACACTTTTTAATTGGTAAAAACTTCCAGGCAGCTCAGGTGACAAGTCAAAAGTAATCCTTACTTTGTGTTAAATGGAAACTGAGATTTCGAATTACCAACTAAGCTAAGCATACATGTGCAACCAAGCAGACTCATGTCAGCAGCAGGCAGCCACATCACATGACTTGTAGCTCAGATGTATGGGATATCCTCAGTTGGGATAATATGATCAGTCATGACTTACAGTTGTGGGGTATAGTAGGTTTATACAGACAAGAACTGTACGAAACAGAGACAGAACTCTATAGAAATAGTTGAATATCATGAACACAAACTAATTTTCTCCGTCTATCCTTTTTTTCAGCACTAACATCTATGGAGGAAGGTGTGGTATTTTTCACTTTTATGCTGTTTATGTCTGATCACACAATATTGCAACAGTTTCATTAAAAGACCACAAAGCATTTTTCTCATGTTGCTAAGTTTTCTCTGTATGACACGGAAGTTCATTTTGAGCCTTATGGTCACCTCTCAAATCTTTCTTCAGGTTGTAAACATTTGATTCAATGAGAAGTGTAAAAAATGTCTTTGTTCTCTGCTTGTGTTGTAAGCAGCTTCATCCAGTGGCTTGCACCAGGGCACCAGGATGGGTCTCGGGATAACTGTGGGCGTCCTTGTGGTGGTTGTCATTGTGCTTCTAACTGGAGCCGCTGTCTTTTTCAGAAGGTTCATACCCTTTTAGAGTGGAGAAGGAAGCACAAAGTGCCCTCACTGTGACTTTTCATATACAGCATGTATATGTGATATACTGTTAGCTGTACTAAAAATGCATAGACTTGTTTGAAATGCAAAAGCCATCGCTGTTTGTGTAGGAAAGCTGAATCATGAGGGTTAGAGTGATTTTGCACATGTTTGCCTCTAAAACATTTTGAGGAATCACACATATTTAATCTGTGATCCAAAACCTTTGAAAATATTTCACAGGCAAAATCAATGTAGTAGTATTTTACAGATAATGTATTTTGTAGAGTTATACTGAATTTGATAAAAGCCAGACTAGTTTAGTGAAAACCTTGTAATGCTTTGAGTGTGGGTCAGTGTGAATGTCAATAAAAAGATGTGACAAAGACACTGCCCATTGTCATTCTTTACCAGGTTGTGCATAATGACAGTCCATTTTGGAGATTTGAATACACCCTGTACCAAGCAATGAGTTTTCTCAGTTATGTTTTCTAAGTTCACCACAAAGTAAATTAAAAAAAACAGCACATGTACTTCAGTTAGACAAACCACAATTTATATCACGGAGCTGTTTATTACAACTGCTAAACAGTGTGGTGTCAATACTCTGACCTCATCGTAGTTTTAGTTTTAGATTTTCATGCAAACACTGAGGAGTGGTGACACAGTAACTGAAACCCTGTATCTGCATGACAATGGGCCTGAAAATTTGAGCCCACTTACATCCAGCAGTAGCAGCACTATCAGAAACCACAATCAGTGTGAAATCTGTGTAGCTGGAATTGCCTAACTAAACCAGCTCCATGTGTCCCAACCAGTGGTAAACATGCCCTGTCCCAGCTTTCTATTTCATTTTCATTTTCTATTTTCATTTTTCTATTTTATACATGTAATGATTGAGAATGGGTCATTCACTGGTTGCAAGGATAAGAAAAAATGTGCAGCCTGGGTAATTTTATGATTTCCAACGCCCAGTTATGCCACATGTCCACTAGATGTCCCTAGTGAACTTTCAACACAGTTGACCACGTGGTCGCTCCTCTACATCTGCAACTGGTGCCTCCATGCAGGCCAGCCTCTCTGTACTTATCAATAAGATGGATTCAGGCTGTCTGTGACCTTTTTGATTTATGTCGACTAATGAAGCTGTCTGATATTGTGACAACCTGCAAGCCTGTAAGCCTTCCTATATAGACAGGTATTTATCAAAATACTGGCATGGGCTTTAGAGTTCAAGTACAATTTCAAGATAAAGAGACACTGACTGTACAAAGTTTAGAGTTTAGAGTAAACAGTGTTTGAGGTCACTTTGCGGTAATATGTATTAAATAATGGGTTAAAAGTTGCATAAAAAATTGTCCATAGCCCCTACATGGTGCATCATCTAGGGTAGACAAATCAGATAGCTCATAGATGTGTCTCTGCTGTAAAAAGCAACTGCATTAAATAAAAAGTTAAATAAATGAAGGATCAGATGGCATGGGCATATTTGTCATAGGAAATTAACAAATCTTTTGAATTAAATCAGAAATAAAGATAATGAAATTAGTCCTGTGTCTACATTTGCTTTCAAACAAACCCAATGATATGCTCCTGGACCATTTTGATACAAATATAAAGGCAAGCTGTCTGTGAGGCCTTTTAAAGTTTATCTTTTGAGGCTCAGCTGACTGTTTAGGATATCTGCTCTCCAAAAATAAGGTTCCTCACAAGGTTTCTGCTTGTTGAAAAGAATAAAAACAACAACAAAGATTTTATTGGCAAAGTTAAAAAAAATAAGCCCTGTTAGACCTCCCTAAAGATTTTTTTTTTCTTAAACTGGGCACATAAAATGATAACTTGTGTAAGAAATTATAATTGTTCTGTGGGAACAACTTATCATGTGGGTAGAGCACAGTTATCTTGTGAGGACAAGATAAAAATCTGTACATTTAATGTTATTTTCCTGTGGAAACAGGTAAATTGATTGATGTGCACAACATAATAATATTGTAGTAGCCTAACAAGTATTTTTTAAGTATTTTATTGGAGAGAGTTGATCACGTTGACTAAACATGTTAATTACTGTATATGGTGCACACGAGTTCATTATCTTATGGCATCGAGTTAAAGGCATATTTTAGGGTCAAACACACTGTAACACCGAGTTAGACAGTCCCTCGGGAGATTAATGTTCCGGCTTGCTTCTCTAGTTTTACCAGCTTTAGTAACGACCGCACAATAGCAATACACAGCGATCTGAGAAGCCATAAACAAACCTCAGCCAAAAGGCCACTCTATAGCCACAAATAATGCTCAGAACAGCACCTATGTAACTTCATCAACAGTACATATAGGGTCCCAGCCATAGCACCCGCCACCAAACATCTTTTTAGCTTTGCCTAATTTCTCTAGCAAAAAGACTAAACACAACTCACCTACTCACTTCCAGCAGCTGCTTGTTTGTAGCAATACCTCAGGCCAGTCCATTACGGACAGCGGACAGGTTTTTGGATGTGTTTGACCCTAAATTAATTTATGCCGGAATATCCCTTATCTTTTGGGCACCACATAATTAAAGTATATTGTGGGTGCAAGTTATTATCTTGTGGAAACAGTTTAAAGTTTACAATGTCATTATTTTGTACAGACAAGATAATAACTCGACTGATAATGTTTAACTCGTGATTTAGCTAAAAAGGAAGACTTTAAAAAAACTATTTTGGCTGTGTTGTAACATGCTTGTGGTAGCTTTCCTCATCCTAAAATATATTGTAGTAAATATAGTGAAGGCACTGTTTTCTTGTTTGTTTGTTTTTCAAGAAAATTTGTATGGTTCTACTTCTAACTAACCCAAAACTTACCCTTGACTATTACAACTGTATGACACTTTCGTTATACTACCTGGCTGGTTGCCCCCAAACAGTCTGGACACGCCCCTGCATGATTCACTATGAAGACGCACCGAAACCTCGTCATACACGAAACAGGCCACGTGTTTTGGTCTTTCGATTACAGCTGATTTTTAATTCCCCATGAAATAACCAGGTGGTAGCTCATGATTTACAATTAATCACGTGTCACCCACGCAGTAACAGCTGATGGTTTGTTGTAATGATCATATTCACAGAAGCTTTTCCAGGAAAGTTGTTCATCGGACAGTTCTCTGTGGTCCAGGAATGGCATTTGCAGGAAATCCCCTGTGAACACTTTGATAGTGTCCTACGCTCTTTGAGAAAATGAACAACACGGGGATTCTTCCTCAAGCATGCTTGATTTAAATAAGCGGAAAAATGCTGCCTTCACGTCCCCCCTATGAACTCTATACATGCCCGGAGCAAAAGAGTTGTGGGATTTCTTTTAAAGGCGAAAACAAAGTGACTCATAGTTTTCATATGAGAGGTTTATCTTTAGTTCCTTATTTGCCAGTTTATCAATAAGTCATCGGTTTGGAGATGGATATTGATTTCTGAAACATGTGGGCTACTTAAAGCAAGTGACCCACCAGCAGTCAGCGTGATGAAGTATTTTGTTAATTGATAGTTAATTTATCGCCGGCTGTGTAAGAGTGTTAACAGAAAGAAGACTAAAGTTTATTCAGTCCACTTTACGTAGGCTATCCTTCATTCTCGCGTGAAAGCCTCAAACATTAACGCTTCTGCGAAAGTTGCTAACCACGGGCTGCGTTAGGGGGGGGGACTAGTTCAACAATAGACTTTCTGAATTTCCTTACTTTCACGTGGAAATTGGAGTGTCCATGTGTCCGACAACCCTGTAAGGCAGCATTGCACCAAAAAGCCCGGAAGAGTCCCAGCAGCCCCTCCTCCTCCTCCTCCTGTCCGCGCGCTGCTCAGCTCAGTATTTCACCTGCGCTACTTCACTGAGAGCAACACGGACTTTGGAGTGTTGCGGACTTTCCACGCCTCTTCACCAGAAAGCACCGACATCTGTGAGGGTCACATTTGAACCGCGTACGCTGACTTGAGTACCTCATCTCCCAAAGCTCCACAGAGGTGTTCACAAACCCTGACAGACTCTTTTCGAAGGATGGATTTGGCTTCTTTGCTTTTACTGGCTCTTCTGAGCGCCGGGACGCTGCTCCAAGGTAAGCCTCCTGTAAATGTAGTCTCTGTTCAATGATAGGCTTGAGGCTATGACATGTTTTTTACACTGTAGTAGTCTAGTTACATGGGAGCCTCGTTATGTATCGAAAGTAACCCACAAGGAAATTACTCACACATAATGTTTGTTAAATACCTCCAGGATGAAGTTTGTAAATGGGTTAATCTCTATTAAGGTGCCACTTTCATGTCTGATTCACGTGTTTCAGGGCTGAAGTAACAGAATTAGTTGTGCGTGAGGCTGTGATATCCATCCATGGTAGTATACTCGGGACTAGGGCTGGGCAATTTAGGAAAAAGTTTATCACAATACATATTTTTTTCATATCAGTCGATATCGATATCTATCAGGATATAAAACAATCACTATTCTCTGTGTTACTCTTGACTGAATAGTCAGTTCAGTGTTGCTATTCGTATAGTCTACCAAAACATGGCAAAATGCATGACTATTGAAAAGCATATTGACCATGTTTCATATCGATATCGAGGAAAATTAATTTTTGACATATATCATTATCATTTTATCGACCACCCCTAACTGGCACTCAATCAGCCTGGGAGTTTTATGGCTCAGTTCACAACCTTTCATTGAAAATGTGTAAATTTCTCCTTAGGCTACCAGTAAGTCTGAGATAGAGCGCTCTCTCTTAAAATCTTGTAGAAATCAAGTTTCCAATTATTGCTCAGACCTAAGTTTAAAGCTATCATTTTAATAAACAAATATGAGAATATCACCACTTTTTCTTGCTATAGTAACCTACAGGGATGCTGATAAGTGAAGAGACCAAATGCGCAGACAATGAGTGCTTCAGGCTCCAACAAGTTTCAACATGTGGACTGATTGAAGTATTTATGAGTGTAGGGGACAGACAGCAGACACATCGCTGTATATCCACATTGAAAGATGAACACAGACCAGTTATCAAAGAATCAAATGTCGTCTGTCTGGTTTCTAACAGTAGGAGCAGCAGGCACACTGTTGTGCAGAGGATACTCTGTGTTTTGGTGTTATTACCTGTAATAGAAAACTGCGTACACATATTGGTATTCAAGTCGATGTCAGCTGAAATGAGTTTAAAAATAAAGGCATATCAGATATTGTCAAAGATCTCATATCAGGCATCTCTTAAAGTTATATACTAAAACTTAAACTTAATAAAAAAAAATCCCTGGATGAATCATAATAATAATTTTAATTCATGGACAAGTCTTACCTATTTGCAATTGTTTTTAATCATTATTATGTCCAGTCAGTTTTCTTGATACAGTGCTACATCATTACATTGTTTGGTTTTTGAGAACTTTTCATATTGAGCAGGTTCAGGCTTTGACTGAATCCTACCCGCCCACTCAGGAGTTATGGGCTCATGGCTTGTGCTTAGTAGAGGCTCTACCTCACTCTCACTGTCTGCAGCAAACTGGTTCAGAGGCTACTGCTCTAGTAGTAGTAGTAGTAGTAGTACTAAATATAGTAGTAGTTTTGTCTTCAGTTGCCATAAACAAAATAATAATTTTCACAATCCAGACTTTTTAAACAAAGTAAACAGTCATGTCTTAAGCAGTGACTGAACGGGTACTGGCTAAAGCAAAATGCCTATTTACTTTTTGTAAAACACCTTTAGCATACTTGTTCCATATTGTATTAGGTTAAAAAACACTCCATACATTGACTTGATTCATAAATTTAAGCTCTAGTTTTCATGTTGTATGTTATGTTTGTGTTGCATATCTAGCATCTTTATTTTGCAATGTGTCATGTACACAATGAGCTTTGAGATAGCTGTGATAAATATGATTATTTACTGGTGCATTTGGCTGTGCCAGCTTCTAAAGCTTTACTTTGATTAAATGAGGCTCTTTCAGAACCACTTTTGTCTTGAGTTCAGTTAAAAAGCTAATTTGAAAGTTTCTCTGTAAACCCAGGCTTTCTGCCTCAGGCTTTAAAGCATGTTTGTAAGACGGTGCCTTTAGCTTGTCATTTGATGTGTCTTTGGCACGAAAAGAAACAATTATAAGCAGACCACTTCTGTCTGACTGATGTCATAAAAAGAGATGCTGACTATTTGAAAGTCATGGCTGTAAGGGTTGGCACTGCTGCTGGAGTTAAAGATGGAATGTAATCCGGTGGAAAATATTGTGTCAGCACATATCAAATATTTTAAAGTACAAGCTCAGTGCCCCTGTTTATTTTTAACCGCCCACAGAGCAACTCTTTAACTTTCACAATCATGCAAATCCTGTCAGTAGAACAGGCAGAAACAGCTATAAGCCTGCAGCTAGCCATCGACTTGCCTACCTTCACTTCATAAATGCATGTTTGTTTAACAAACGCAAATCAATTCCTTTTTCATTGTTGATTTTGGTTCAAAAAGCTGTGTTTAACAAATATTGCAGAACATTTTTGGGCCAAATTTGAAATTGTAATCTTACCCAAATCAAAGATGTGCTCCCCTTAAAGTCCTTTGATATACAGATGACCTGCTGAAACTTAATGGGTCAATTGTACGCAAAACGAACAAGAAAAACGAGAGCTGGGAGACTGGTGGGTTTCGTTACGATATCAAAGATCTGCATACTTCAACAGGCATCCAAGGACATTGCAAGGCATCAAATAAGAAATGACCGTACTTTATAACCTTCAGATAATAAAATGACCACATATCATATACAATTTCATGTAGTAACTCTTAACACAGCCAAGTGAAATTGAATTACCACTGCTGGTCTCCATAGGTTAAAACAAAAGTCATTATGCCCTTTAGTCTGGCTTTATGATACACCTGTCAGGTGAAATGTTTAGTAAACTTAGTTTTCTATGGATACAGGTGTACATCTAAATACAGGTGGTTTTCACCTAAACTAGCCCCCTGCAGACAGTGCTTTAAATAAAGCTACCCACCCACCCCCCACCCATACACTCACACACACACATGCACACACACAAATGCACACGCCCACTCACACACTCCCTCAGGCCAAAATGGGGTCCCTGCTATCTGATCATGTGTTTGTATTCAGGGATGTGGTTGTTTATGTTTCGTTGTAATCCAAGTACCAGTTTGTATGTGTTTTGTGTGTGTTCATTAGTTTCAGGAGCTTAGTGACTGAAGAGAAGCCAGGAAACACACTGACCGTTTAATGAGTTTTGTCCAGCTCTTAATGCTTCACAGACTTGTGCTTATAAAGAATATTAGTGCTGTCTCCTTGTGAACATGGGGGAGTGATACATCTGAGATAAGAAGTCTCTGAGTAAAGCTGTGGAATACAAATTATTCTTAAAAATACAACCTATATTAAAAAGGCTCTTTAGGGCTGTTATTAAACCGTGTTTGATTGTTAAGCCTTACATGTGTTTCAGAGACTGATGCTGAATTTGTGCCGCTGATACAGTTTTCATCATGACAGAGCCAAGGCAATGATGACATGAAAGTACAGAAGTGACAATAAATACTCAGCCAATTATTTGCTTTGTTTTTGTTTACATGAGACAAGACTGGAGTAGTGAACTATTGGACATTCAAAATCCATGATATTTCCCAAACTGTGCATCTAATTCATCTAATTCATTCATCATGCATTCCTGGAACAGACTAAGATAGTTGAGAGGTGCAGTTATTATCTGCAACAAGTGTGCTGCAGGTACAAACTGTATCTGCTTCCATGCGTCCTTCTCACTCAATGCATTGACACATTAGTCTGACTGAAATTGCACTAAATTGAACTTTTCACAGTCAGACTAACATACTTGGATAATGGGATTTGGGATTGATTTTCTCCTCCATGTATTCAGCTCAATCAAACTGAAACTGGTCTGTCTACACATTCTTTGTGTCCAAGCCTTGACCCATCAGTTTGGAGATTCATAGTGTCATATTCGTATTCATATATAATGCAGCTTTAATGCTACAATCCCCCCATATGTTTGTATTGATTTCACCTTATTTAGTCAAAGAATCAGTCCTCTTTATTACCGATTTTATTTGTAGCCTTTTACACACTGCAATTCCTTGACAGTGCAGGAACTGAGTTCCAGCCAGCACTACAACTTTGGACTACACACCCCAAAACAACAAAATATCGGTGCGCAGTTAGATAACGTTGCATTACGTTTCTTTTGAAGCACGAAGGGCATGGCTTGTAAACACACAGCAGGAGCTCCCCATACACACACACACACACTCTTAGACACACACTTACACATTGCGATGATCCACAGTGCCGCCACCTTCTCCCCCTAATTCTGTCCATGTTAATTCCTTCTGAGGGGGATCAGGGGCGCCCCATCATTACTCCCCTGGGGGTTACTCTTAGCCAATGAGGCGTAAATATCTCACCTTGTAATGGCAGTATGTAAGTGCCTTGTATAAAATCAACTTTTATGACCTTAATAGATCATCAGGGACAGCAGAGCAGTATTGCATTGTGGGAGAGTCTGAACAAAATTGACCAGCTTAAGTAAGTAAGCCAGACATTACACGAGTGTAAATATCTGAATTGGAAATATTTCAGATGTTTACACTTGGTACTCGTCTATGATTGGCTCATTGAATTAAGCTAAAAAGAGAAATATTTCATCTAAAAGAATTGACTTAAGTGAGATGACTTTTGACTCAAAACTAGAATTTGAGTTTTCATCAACTAAAACTGAAACTATAAAAAGCAAAAAAAAGTCTTAAACTGAAACACGTTTTTCATCTTCAGACTAAGAGTAACTAAAGAGTTGCTAAAATTAACTGTGACATGGACTTGTGTCACTGACTCAGAGTAAGCTCGGATAAATGTTTTATTTTTTCAGCTCTTATCTCGGAGCCCTGACTGTGTCACTGGACGTCTCTCCCTGATCACAGAGCTGCTCTTTGTCAGAGCGGCCAGAGGGCGGGCAGCCTGTCTGACTGCTGACCAAGTGTGTGTGTGTGTGTGTGTGTGTGTGTGTGTGTTTGTGTGTGTGTGTGTGTGTGTGTGTGTGCATTAGGATTGTTAGTCGACACCCAAGCTGGGGGCACATCTCCATCACTTGATGCTATCTGGTCTGCATCTGGATCTGGATCTGGATCAGTGACTCCGCTTTGAGGAGGGAATGCCTGTGATTTTTTTGGTCACATTTGATTCATGATGACGAACGTATTGGTCCTCCCCATAATGACACAGAGCAGCTCGGTGGGCAGAGGCTGAAGTCAGTTTTCAGCCTGATCTGTAGCATTCCTCACTTCAAAGGGGAATGTTTTCAAAGAGACCTTCAGACTTCCAAGTTTGAAGTCTCGGGAGGCTTTTCAGGGTGACTTTGGAGTGAGTGGTAAGCTGCCGGTGCAGATGTGAGGAGATACAGCAAAGTGTGAGGTGTTGAATAAGTAGATGTGAACTGTTTTTGGAAGAGGTTGTCGTGACTAACAGAGAATTTCAAAGTTGGTACTAACAGAAAAGATTCCTGTGGTTACAGCACGCAATCTGGATCTAGTTAGCACCTTTGAGTTCTCTTTGGAGTGCCTACAATTTATATACTGTCCTAGAAAGGTGTAATACTACTACTACTACTTCTTAGAACTACTTAGAAGTATGATGAAAACTTTTTTTTTTTTCATGCAAAAACTTAGGGGTGAATTATAGACCCTTTTAAAACTGACATCACAATAGTGTCATGGTACTCATGGTATAAAAAGGTACTAAGAACTTATTCGCCCTGAATTTAGCTGTGTTGTTCTCATTTGGTTTTTGTCAGTCAACACTAAACGCCTGTCCATCTCCCCTTCGGCAACCCTGTCAAATCATCAGTCCACTGACAAACACTCCACTCCCATTTGTCACTGTTAATTTGTCCATGGAAAACAAGCAAAAAACAACTTGCTAGCCAATGCTGGTTGAGGTGTTTTTTTTGCAGTCAGCTAAGCCCCGCCCACATCAAACTGTTTACGAACACTGAAAGGGTCTACAGCTTCTGAACATCAAAAACTGAGACAAAGCAGTGGCTAAGGTTCTCTGTTTGAGGCAAAAAAGAAAGACATTTCAGCTATTCTTACTTCTAAATTCACAACAAATGTTGGTGACAAACTCTTAGTATCTTTGAAATGTTACATTATTTTCTGTTTGAACTCTTATGAAACACAATTATTATTATCCATGAACTACTTAAACATGGCAAATCATTTAATTTCTCTCAGTTTCTCAGTCTCGTTACACTTGCCTTGATAAAACTTGCTTCCCCCCCTCCTAAAGAAGAACAAAAGACAGAAACAGAGCTTATATCTGCTGATAAAGCCAGAAAACACAGTGGGAGTGGTATGCAGTTTCAGTTGAATTACTTTGGCTTGAGGGAATGGACGGTTTAAAATGCTCTTGCCTATTTGCCCCAACACGCAGAACAGCTTGTGTTTTTCTGGAGGGAAAATTCAGAGGTGTTGGTCAGCATTACTCAGGGGGGTGGGGGTTGGGGGTCGGATATGTGAAGACAGGAGGGGGCAGCCACCTTTAGCTGCTTTTATCCAACTGCCCCCAGCAGCTGATTTCTGGAAGGTCACAGTCTTTTTGAAGCACCACACACAGTCAGTTTCCCCTATCAGACAAATTTAGTTTGATCTATTATTCATAAAAGCCCCCACCCAAACCCCTGCGCTGTTCAGACTCGTCACAGAGACTCCCATAACTTACTTTTGTCGTGTGAAAAGGTCAAAGGTTTATGAGATTTCTCCCTAAGTGAGGAAAATATTGCCTCCCATGAGCTGCTGGGGAATGCCCCTCAAACCCGTGAAAGACAGAGGTTAAGGTCATTCTAGTTTTTACCTCCAGTAGGTATCTGAGGGGCTGTTTACACTAAAGCACACCCAATAAAATACGGTAAACTACTGGGGTGCCTTGGCCATTCTCTGACATGCTTCCTTTGTAAAACAACGTGAGGAAATCAGGCCCTTGGGATGGAAACAGTTCTGATTAATCTCTGAGTCACAGGCATCATAGGGGGTGGAGAATGTGAATGACTACCCTGGGCCCCATCAGAGGAAGGGGCCCTTGATGGACCTGAAATGAAAATGTACTTTTGGTTTGGATTTTCTCCTCTAAGTTATGGCTGCCATATGTAAGTGAAGTTAAATCAGCTGAAAAAATGTACAATTTTCTCTCTGAGGCCCCTCTCATCCCTGCTGTGTGTGCAAAATAGTCTAGTCCATCCAGTGCCAGCCTTCAGGATTGATTTAGTTGCACTCAAGAGAGTTGCCCATTTGGGAATAAAGCTGAACAGCAAGCAATGAATTTGAATTTGATTTACGAAAAATATACCTGGTGTAAAGTAAGGTAGTCTTGAAAGGTAAAAAAAAACCAGCCTCATTACAACAAAGAAAACATGTAACATCACTGCACATAGCAGAGTGACACTAATGCCAAGAGTGAAACCAGAACCAGGTCAACCTGACATTACATGTCTGTGTCAGTTTGGTGAGCCCCCAGTCTCAGTTTTTGTCTTTTCAGGTGAGAAGTGTCTGAAATGGTGGGCCTCTCATTGCCCAGAGCATGTTGGGGGTTCCCAGATGAAGCTTTAAAAGCTTTGAATAAAAAGTACCTACCCACCCAAATGTGCAGGGACAGGCTGTGACATAAACTAAGAGGAGCAAAAGAAAGTGAAACTAAATGAGATCATGGGGAAACCAGCACTCATTCACACGCACAGCTGCTGTTGTGACTAAAAAGTTATTTATATCCCGCAATGATGTTATCATAAAAGTTATTTAAGTCCAATGAAGTCCTAGGAGCCTGGCTGATCCAACACAAGGGGAAAAGTTCTGGGTTTTCCCAAATCGCAGTCTGGGAGGGGGAGCTTGTCTTGTTTTGTAGGACAACTAAAACAATATAACATAGTGTTGAACAATAATAGCCGTAATGAAAATTAGGATTATACATCATCACAATTATTTTTTAAGTGAATTAAGTTTTTTAAAATTTTATTTCTTATTTTTCTTTAAGTTATAACCTGAATTCAAATGGAGAACCTGTAGCTACAAGGCTAAAGCAGTCAGTACACAGTAGAGCTAATGTCTAGACACAGATGATATGTTGAATGTGTGGATATCCTGATTAGCCTTTGTAGCCCTGACCTTATTTCAGTTTTTTATTATCGAGTATCTCTTGATCCAAGGGACTCCATCTGAATTGTGTATTATAGCTGTGCACCTTTTTTTCTTACATAAATATTTGTGATGACTTCAGCTTATTCCTTTTGACAAAGTCCAGCTAGTTCTTTTGTGAAACACTTATAATCTGTCAAACATGGGCTGCTGTATGAGACCCACCAGACTGGTGTGTATTTGATTTAATACTGCACACTGAAACGCAAGGCAATCCTGCTGTGAAAGCAACCCTCACAAGACGGTGTGAGGGTCGCAGTGGTGACACCCTGCGAGTAGACCAAGAACATAAATCATGGACATAAAAATAGCATCTTTTTAAATTTACCCCCCTTTTCACGCTGTTTTTCACAAATCACATTACATAATGAACTGACCTGGATCGCCTTGAACTAGAGAGTAGAGGAAACAAACCAGTATGTGATGAGGCTTACCAATGACAGTGAACAGGTTGTGCAACTGACAAAAAACACTTCTGGTTTTAAATCACCTCCAGTGTTGACACACGACTTGACTGTCCAAGGTATCTCTGTAGTGCTGAGAGGACAGGACTTACTGTGGATCTGAAAGATGACAAAAGTCTGCGTTTTTTACCAGTAACATGGGCTAGTTGTCTAAGGTGATGAAATAAACAACTGATCTGTAATTTTTGGCCTTTTTGCTCTCTTGAGGATATTCATATGTTCTTTAAGTCCAGAGTTTAGTGTGTTAGCGCGGCAGCCTTTTTCTCTGTTGCTTAAATGTATTTGTCCCATGTTTGGTTTTTAGATGTCATATCACATTGGTTGTACTTGTACCTTGTGAAAGGATCGCATTGCAAATATTACAAGTGGCTGTAGGGCTCTTTTCACCAGTCATAATATTTCCATACTGCTGACATGTTAGCCAAAATGCTGCTGATACATTTAACAGACTGTCTTGTGTTTGGGATATGTTTTAGCCAAATGTTTTAGCCCCCCTGGAGGGTTAGCTGGGCTGCCATAAAGTGGTTGTTGCAGTCTGGCTCTGCATGTGTATTCCTGCAGTTGAATTTAAGCCGAGGCTGGAGTTCAAAATCAATGTCCTGTTCATTATTTTTCTTTTCGGGTAAGCAAACCAAGGATGCTTGGTTACATAAGGCAACTTTCGTACAATGCATTCTGTGCAAAGTGTGTCCAGTGATGGCTGTTGTAAATGATCGAGTTAGATGCTCAGTTGAGGGATATCCTTAAAAGTAAATTGTAGCAGGTTTCCTCCAAGTGTATCGAGCAAACTTTATATTTATGAGCAAAAAAGTATGCCTGATATTTGAGCGGCAAATATCTGACTTGTTGTCTGGGCTGCATTCATGTGAAGGCCAGGTCAAACCCATTCAGTCCTGCTATAAATGACACCCTGTAAGCTACCACATAAAAAAAAAAAAAAAAAAAACTGTAGTAATGACCCTACTTCGTATCTCCTTTAATGTTTTTGCTATGAAAAAGCTGAAAACCACCTTGTTCAGATTTGCTGAAACTGGTCTCAACTGGTGCATATTTGGCCCATGAGGATGCAAACTATATTTTCAGACAGTCAAAACTGTTACACACTCAACACATGATAAGTCAGTCCCTCAGTGAGGTGAGAGATCTTTGACTCCGTCCAGTTTTTTGTTTCACAATATTTCATTTCTGCACAAGCATGTTGTCAGTTTGCAAACAGAACCTCATCATCTGCAGCTGCATTTGACTAAGGAGCATTCCTAGGGATGCCACAGGATTGTATTACACCGTGTATATGTAGCAAGGGTACAGACATACCTTGGGGGCAGAGGGCACAGTCCAGAGTTTCGGACTAATAAAGTACAGGCAGGAGGATGTGAAGTGTGTTTTGCAGCTTCTGCCTTGCTGACAGAGAGCTGTGGCTGACAACCTAGGCAACAGAAGAGACATAAAAAGTGGGTCATGTTGACATTGTTTTAATTGGTACATCCCACTGCCTTCACAAAGCAAGCATTCATCTCGTGTTTTCCCCCCAAAGGTTCCTAATGCAAGATAAAGGAACTGCAGTTAGAGATCACCTTGTTTGTTTAACCAGAAAGTGTCTGCCACCTTCAAGTTCAGCCCCTGGATTCTTCAGGGTCATTAAACAGTGGTGTCGTAATGTGATTTAACAGCCCGAGGATTTTGGTCTCGGTAATGAAGCTGAGATAAGCTTGAAAGTCTGCAGACAACTTGGATCTGCCACTGAAAGTTTGGTGATTCATTTCTCATTTCTCTTTCTGTGAAAATACTCTCTCATACTTTGATGTTACAGTGCGTAGTATTTAGCAACACTTGAGGAATCAATGAGATCACACAGTATACATATATATATATATATATATATATATATATATATATATATATATATATATATATATATATATATATATGGTATATACTGTGTGATCTCAGTGATTCCTGAGATTGATTGTGTGTGAATGCCTCTGATCTTAGTAGATCGATAGCACATGTTTTGCCTGAAGAAGTTGTTTTTATGAACCCTTGTGTTGTCCCCAGTTTCCATTTCCACCATTTGCCTTTGCAGGGACACAGGTGGATTCTTTGTGGGGAAGAAATAAAATACTAAAAAGAAGTTAACTACCAATTTTTAGCACAAAACACCAGTCACAGCTTTTGTATTTATTAAGGTAGAGGTCTGTTGTAATAGTTGTCATTATGGTTGTGGTTATTTAAGGCATGACCATTAATTTTAACAAATAGAAATGCTTTTGTATTTCCTTGAGGAAATCTGGTCTTTAACAGGAAAAAATCCCCTCAAAGCTTCTGGGATAAGTTTTTTATCTGACAATGATGCTTTGTGCTCTAGGCTGTATTCTTCTGAATCTCTTGCAGAAACATCCTCCTCTTTCATTTTTATCTTGCTCTTGTTTATCTGGAGGAATCCGGTGTAAGACCTGTTTGACAATGAAATGTGTACTTATGGATTTAGCAAAGAGAAAACTTGATGTATTCTAATAAGCTCCACTTTTTCATCAGATGAAATCCCTTTTATAGTGTTGATTATTGCTAAAGAATGGCTTAAATCTCCTGAAATTGGGTTTATTTTACTTGTAAACTCTTTGATCTTTAAACACGGGTGGGATCTCAGAGGGGGGAAGATGCACCTGCACTACAATGTTTTACTAAAGTCTGAGTTCAGTCAGTAACGCCCACAATGTCAATTTGTTGTTGGTGTAAGTGTGTCTGTGTGAAAAGGGAAGAAAGACATAGACAGTATTTACTTGCAGGTGGGCTTCTCTTCTGAGGTTTAAATGCTTTGATGTAAAGGGTGATAGTTGGACCCTGTTGGTGTACGGCTCACAAGAAAACATAAACCATATTTAGTATTGTCAAAAGTTGAGATTATTCTAGGAAAAGTCATTAAAGTTAAAAAAAAGATTAGAAAAGTGGCTGTCTTCAGAAAGTTATATTTTATCAATATCGCACAGCTTTATTCCTCCTCCATGAAGTGGCTCAGAAAGAACAAACTGGACGTATAAGTACCTTTTGTACCAAGTGTTGATATGCAAAATGCACCAGTTAGAAAAAACAGAGAGTTGTTGTTAACTTAGTCAATAGGGACGATTTTTGCCAGTGCCGGTGTTGAACAGACACGTTTGTGAACCCTTACATGTACCCAAAAACTTGTATTCATGGACATATATGGTAGTAAAAACTTAGACGATCAAACGTGTGTCACAGTAGCTTCTTGCCCTCAGAGGCCCACAGCGACCAATTTCAATGGAGAATCTGGCAGCTATTCTACTGCAAGTATTCCCATTTCTACATACTTTACTTTTAACCATGGAAAGCAAGACGGTCAGATGAGGAAATATGTGCAGTGCTTTATCCACAGTGCTGCTTGACCATGGCACAAAGGATACACACACCAAACATGTAGTTCACATCAAGAATAAAACTACCAACACACTTGTGCCGCAGGAATTTGAAGCCAGACGAGTCCTATAGATGATATCAGAAACCTCAGGGATTTTACTGAAGGGATAGTTAAAAGGTCAACAAGTAATTTGATCAAATTTATATTCTGCTGTGATATCTGTGCAAAAAAAATCAAGTATGGATTCCAGCTACTTCATCCACCACCCATGAAAAGGTCACAAGAGCTCAACCGAATAAAAATGTTCTTACCACATGACAAGATAAGGAGAAATGAGACAGAACCATGAGAACCAGATAGAAGCTTTTTAACTAGCAGGTTGATGGCAGGGTCTATCATAGGGTCCTATCTGGTGAAATTAGTCTTACTGTTGATGTGCATAATGGCTTTTCTTCAGTGTGTACAGACAGGCAGACCTTTGGAGAGTTTTCCCTCCACAGTCACAACTTGATTTTAATTTTTTTAAGTTCATTTGAGGTTTTTTTTTGTCTCTAATCAGATGACAGGACTGTGGAAAGAGCAGGAAATTTGCACGAGAGAGTGGGAACAATGCGTGGAAAGAACCAATCTGCACATGGGGCCCACCATTTAACCCCTGACCCCAACCATGACTTGATTTTTGAGGTCGACACTGTAAATTGCTTTGCTGAGCTCAGGCACACTAACACTAATTGGCAAGCCACTTAAGTTAATGTCAATCTTGTGAAAGGCAGAAGAGGCAAAACAACAGAGTCTCAGGAGATTGAAGATGCTGACTAAGACATGTAAAAAAAATCACAGCAAAACCTCAGCTAAGTGGCTCCTAACTTTGCTAGCAGGACATGAACTGGCTCATATGACATTAATAATGATTCATGGTGCTGCAGATCGATGCACTCCGATCTTTAACGTGGCATTACTACACAGCTTTGCTTTGTCTGTCTTTGCCGGTAACTAATGGTTACATGGGAGTTTTTTCCTTTCAACACGAGTTAAAATTAAGATGTATTAAATTAATGTTATTTTAAAAATGATAGTGGTTTATAGCTCTTTTAAAAGAGTTTAGATACTAAAAAAACCAACACTGTTGTAAACACACAGAAAAACACACACTGATAAAGCTATTAATAAAACATCAGGTCATGATGATTGTGATAAGAGGCTCTCACAGCCGCAGTTAAGTGCAGTTATTATCTCAGCCCCACACAACATTTCTCTGGAAGCATGATTGAAGTTTAGTAATACCCTTCTTGTCTCCTACTTTCCTCTTTGGATTCATGTAAAGACATGGAAATTATGTATGTGAGACACAAAAACAATCGAGTGAACGATACATACTTAAAAACTAACTGATATACCATTAATCTTGACCCTACACAGCCAGTGTGGCTCTGGTTTGGTAAAGTTTGTCTTTTTATTTCATGTGAAGGGAGAAGTATGCTCCTTACAAGAACAAGGCAAACCAAGACCAAACGGCTGTACTCTCCTGTTCTCGACTGAGGCCGGGGGTATTAAGGTCTAATTTAGACTGTAGAACTTGATGGGAACACTGGAAGCTCTGCCTCTTTGGGCCTTATTGAGGAAATACCAGGGTGATCTCCTATGGACCAGTCAGAGATCACGCACAGCACTACCAAGCTGTCTCTTTGGATTGTCTTAGTATTTCATGAGTTATCTCAGGTATTTCATTCTGGACTACCATCTCTGTGAGACAACAGTCTGAACAGCAGCTCATGAGTCAGTCTCTCTGATATTTCTACTCCCACATTGCTGTTTCAAATACTTTGGGGATCACCTATAACTCTCTTCATCATTAAAGAGACAGAGACAACACAACCATAAACCTTTTATATAGTTCTGTTGGGTATTGCAGCAACCCCGAAAGTAAAGATTAAACTTCAAAGGACACCATCATCTTTTCCTTTTGTAAGGCAACCCATCTAGCTACGTACCAGCCATACCTGTATCTGTGACCGAGTGTTGCTTTCTCGGCTAACCAGTGGCCATTACTCAATCAACCATCAACCAGTCTTTGTTTATATAGCGCCACTTGTTATCTCGAGACACCCTACAAGAAGAACAGGTCTGGACCACGCTCTTTGTTTATATTATTTACAGAGACCCAACATCAAGATAAGATAGGATTCAGCCCTATCTCAATGCCCTGTAAGCACGTTTAGCATTTAGCAAGTTACAGTGGTGAGAAAAAACTTCCTTTAATAGGTAGAAACCTCAAACAGAACCAGAATCGTGTTAGACAGCCATCTGCAGAGGCCGTACTGGGAATAGAAAGGGAGTAAGATGGAGATACAAGAAGAGAGAGGGATGGACAGCATTAAGAACTCATGCAGACCTGTGATTACAGTGCCAATAACAATAGTAATATTACTCTACTGTTTACAGGAAGAGCATGCTAGTGATAATGGACTGATCTTAATGCAGTTTATGGCAACCAAATTCAACAGGTCTAATAACAGTATTAACAATTATGTTGATGGTAACAGGGTAGGACTTGAAATATCAATATTAAAGTTGGAGTCATGCTGGTAACTTTAGCATTATAACGATGATAACAGTGAGACTGAAGATTGTAGCACCCAGAGTCAAGCAGTGGGCTTTGGCAGCGGGCTGTCTGCAATGATCCAGAGGAACCTTTGAGACAAGGGGCCTCAGGGACTCCCAGAAAGATCTATTGTTAGGGATTTAAGTGGGGCAAGAAGATTCTAAGTTAATGACATGCAGGCTGATAGAGGAGAGGGAGTGAAAGACAGGAGCTCAGTGTGCCAGATCCCAGTCCACACTGATGTCAGTCAGAAATGACTCTGCTACCTCATATTTTTTCTACTTACCCACCACAGTGTCTGCATTTGTGTGGGGGAAAGCAAACCTTCATTGTGTATGAACAAAACCCAAATTATGTTTGAACCAGTGATGCATGAATTGCAAAATCTGTGTAAACAGTGGAAACTGGTACAAAGCCCACCTGTGTCCCTGTTAATCTGGTATCAGGCCAGTTCATGTTGGGTGTTGTGCTTACACTTTCTTGTCTAACTTCTCAGTTTATAAGGGATATCCAATAATTAAACTTAGTGAAATAGAAAAATAGAATAGAAAAAAAAAGCACATCACCTCTTCAATTTTTGTCTGAGAGCAAAGTAGACAGGATTGTGACTGAACTGCTATTTCAAATAACTGGATTAGGCAAAGATTTCTTCAATCCAAATAACAAAGAAAAGACTTACCCGAGCAATAGCTTGAGGCTTTTCAGCTTAATTTCCTTTCATATCTCATCTAAACCCTGAAGTGTAACTTTGAATAGAGACGCTTTGTCGTATTAAGGCGGAGATCACCTTGATGGTTGTGTTGGCCATTAATGGTCTTTACAAACTCAACCAGGCATGTGTAAAATATAAAAAGGCCAAGAACCTTAATTCATCAAAATTTCAGAACTGAATGTGCAAACCTGAGAGAAAGATGGGCCCCTCTGTATATTAGCTGTTCACATCGAGCCGAACAGTCTGTTCTTTTTGCCCAGAGGTTACACATTGAATTTGTCGGCCATGTTCAAACTTGCAGAGTGTTTTCTGAGTCAACGGATGACCTTTGAGAAGCGCTTCAGGCAAAATTCCAACTCTTCTTTAAAAAACTGAAGAGAGAAACTCCCACCTGAGTCCCCAGCTCAGAGACACTTAACAGGTCACACTGTGTTGTGGCGCTGTGAAAGCAAAAGAGGCAAATACACACACTCAGACATGTACTTGCACATACAGTACAGCACCTTTTCTGCCTTCAGTCTCCTTTACTGCCTCTGATGAATGATCCTGAATGTTATACATGGTAGACGAGGCGTATCATGAATGTAAAAATACCACCTGAACTAACAATCTGTAAGCAGCGAGGGTTACAAACGTGGTTACATGGGTGGCTACATCCAGTAAGAGCTGAGGATGGCAGGTGCTACACCAAGACTTGGACAAAGAGATGAGAAATGGGCGTGTGTCTTTCAGCAAGCTCACATGGAGAACTGATGATCCAATAATGAAGCAGCCTATAGTTTCTAATGACAGAGAGTAGACTGTCAGACCTACTCTCCTCTCTGAGTTAAAGTGGATCAAACAGGTTGTAGTTGAGCTGGGTGATTATGATTATGTTTGTGGCTTCCCATGAGTATAAAAATATGAAAATTGAGACTGAAAATCTTTACCCCCCCTTGAAAGCAGAGTGTGGGTGTGGCCCCTCCCCTCCAACAGCTCTTACTTTTACACTATTTTGATATCAGCCAAAATAACCTAGGGCAGCCATAATCAGGCCGCCCTGGGTTGTCAGAGGAAATGAACTGAAACAGATTTGTCACTGTGAAAAAAGGAAGTGAGTCAAAAGGTATGACACTTAGCCACAGAGTTCAGAGGAACATGACATCATGGCAGAGGGAGGAAGAAATGAGAAGAGGAAGAAATGAGCCAGACAGCCAGCTCCTGGAAAGAGAAGAAACCAGAGAGTTTTATGGTGATTGAGGATTAAAATTGAAGGATTGCACCGCAAAGATCATGCACATGTTGAATAGTCATGTTGGTAAAGGAAGTTAGCAGGTATATTTAGACCAAAACTTGCAATTGTGGCTGTTGTCTCATCTGTGCTAGAGCATTTTCACACGGTACCATTGCTTCACCATATCACACAACATTTCCACAAACTTTTGGCTCATATTTAAGTGATTAATCACCCTGCCTGTCAAACAGTTCCACAGAACATCTTTGTTTCATTTTTTTTTTTACAGATAGCTGTGAAAGCTTTAAATTTTCTTTCACTGATTCATCCTGAAATCAGAGACTGACAAACCTGAAAAACAAGCACGACTGCATTCCTGCTGGGCAGGCGTCATATTTCTAGTCACCACTGTGTTATCCTACATTTCAGATGGTTACAGACATTCTTCTTCCTTTGCAGCTTTAAGTCCTGTGGCTTGGCCCATTTCAGGTCTAGTTGTTTTTTTTTTTTTTTTTTTTTTTTGGTAAATATAAAAATTAAAGGGTGTCAGTATGCCTGCAAAATGAAGTTAGAGTTTTGAGAAGAAAACTCAGAAAACCTTAGGCTACTGAGTTTCTTCAAATGATCAAATATTATATCTGCTGGCAGAAAAGAAAGAGTATTTACTGTTACAAATTAAGATTTGTCTGTCTAGTTAAGAAAGTGATGGAAATAGGTTGCTTGATATTAGTAGGTAAAACATTGGGGGTCACTTTTCTTTCAGACCTAAACTGGCTGACAGACAACAGATTTCTTCAGGGTTTCCCCAACATGTAACTAATCGTGGCGCACCACCATGGCTAAATAAAAGCCGCCACACCTTACATGGCACTATCCCAGATTCAATGTCTATCAGTATATGCTCACACCCAGTATTACCATTAGCAAGTTATGGTCTGCGTGATCACACCGCTTAAACACACACAGTCCCCCTGTTCTTAAATCACACACCAACACAGATAGATTCCCGTTCTGTGGGAAATACTGTTTGTATTGAAAAAAGAAGGGTTATATTACACTTCTTGTCATATGTATGGTACACAAAACAAAGTAAAAGGACCCAAAAATGCAGAACTAAGGGTTTATAAAAGTAAAAGCAAAAAGTTAAAGTCCAACTAAAACTTTCTCTCAAAATGTCCAAACAACTCCAAAAGTCCAAAAAACACAAGAAGCAAATCCAGAGAATCAAATGGGTACTGGGAAAAAACCACAAGGAGACAACTGGGGACACAAGCATATGCTGACATTGACATACGCGCGCACAAACACAATGAACTAACAAAGACAGAGAGGAAGACAGGGACTATATTACACACTGGGAAACGAGCAACAGGTGAGGATAACGAGACACAGGTGAAACTCATGGGTGATTAACGAAGGAGGGAAAACTAGGGAAGTAAAACCAAACTAGAAACAAAAGTAATCAACTACTACAAAATAAAACAGGAAACACTGAGAACTGATCTAAAGAATAAAACACAGAGAACAGGAGGGAAACAGGGTCAATACAAACTGAAAACTCACAAGACTGGACTACAAAGGGACAGGAACACTAGGGGAAATGAACCGGTAGAAAACTAAATAAATTGAACATATCATGACACTTCTTCATCGTCGATGGGCCAAAAGTCAGAACGTGCTCACAGTTTATTGGACTTTAAATGTCAGCCTCCACAAACAGCATTTATGTACATTCAAATCCTACATAAGAAATCTTTCCCTCAGTCTCTGACAGAATATCTCTGAATGTTGGTCATATCTACAGTTACCACAGAGGGCTAAGATAGGCTTGTCTCCATGGGTTGGTGGGATTCATCGGGTGGATTTGCAGTTTCTAGATAACTGTCTCTAGATAACAAACCTCGTTAGGATAAAGCGTCTATCCTGGTTCTGTTCACTGTCACTACTCTCCTTATCAGCCACACTTGGAGCACCTGGACGCTTGTCTGCTAATGGATACTTTTTTTTCTAAAGAGCCTCACTTGATGACAAGCTGTGACCATTATTAGCAGTGATAAAAATGGGAAAGTGCCATGAGCTTACTCTTTCACTGTTTCTGCTCACAGACCTCCAGTGAGAGAGAGCAATGATGTAATTCACTTCCCTAACTGACTTGGGCAAACCTCATGCATGCTCACTAAGAGGCATAATAACAGGGCATTCGCTGAAAGTCCAAATTTCTAATTACTGTCTGCGTCTCTCAGTCTTCCGTCTCCTCAGCAGGGAAAACAAATGCTGGCTCTGCCCATTGTTCATGTCAAATTGGATTGTTAAAAAGTATTAAAAGGGACAAAGTTTCTTTTTTTTCTGAAACACAAGAGGATGATGTTTTTGTCCATTTCCGCTGATGAACAATATGTTGCTCTTCAGACATGCTGGTGCCTCTTCAGCCTGCTGAAGCAGCAGAGGGCATTTTTCCATGAGGAATGAATTAGCCCCCAATTCTCAAGGGTGCTTGCCTTTCCATCTCCACCTCCTCCTAAAGGGCACCACGCACAGAGGGCAAGCTGAGGCCAAGCTGCAGCACATGAAGCTCGTATGAAGTGTGTTTTTCACTATTGAAGTGAACCAGCGGTGGTCCTCTAAGAGAAGGAGAGGAAAAAGGTAGCAGCTGAGAACTTCAACACAGAGTCAAAACAAGACAGAGCTCTGTGTCTTTGGGTTGCTTTTGTGCTTCCCAGTCACCGGTGACTGCCAAGAGGGCAAAGATTTGATTTAAGGACACTGAACTCTGTGAGAAATGTTTACTACATTACAGGAGTTTGAGCACAAAAGAGACCCTCTTCTCTTTAAACCGCTGAATAATCAGCTGATTGTCTGTAAAAAAAAAAAAATACAGGAAGAGTTTAGAGTGTTATTCCAGACAAGACGGATTTCTCTTCTTCATTAAGAGGATGATAGTTTCTTACAATAATAATAATAATAATAATAATAATAAAAAGGGGAAAAGTGAATTATGATTCCAGATTAAATTTGTTTGTGAATTGATTCCAATTCAGAATCTGCTCCACTTACTGATCCTGTTTTTTTAGTGATTTGTGACTTCTTTATCTTTGGAATATAAAAAATTACAAACATTTATAAAACAATTAATTTCCCGGTGTTTGGTTTGAGTTCTTATTGTTCCTGATGAACTGATGAAACACAACGCTATGAATCGGGATTAAACCTAAATTCAGTGGTGCATTTGAAATACCTAAATAATGATGATTCAACAGTGGCAAAGAGTTGCGACCCTTTCACTACAAATCTTGTCACCACATGTTGACATTCCTCCACTTTCTCAGGGTGACCATACATCCTCTTTCACTTGGACATGTCTACTTTTTGGGGGCTGTCCGGGTTTGTCCAGCTTTGTCCTGGGAAGTTTATAAAATCCTTTAAATGTCTGTGTTTTTGTATGGAGGTTTTGGGTTTGTGTCACATGGACTTACTGAGTTAGAAGCGTGTAAAAGACACTCAATCCGACCCAAAAAACTCTCAAAATTAACTTTGAGTGACTCCGTGTCTCCGCCCCCGCGTAGTTGTGTCCTCTTTTTGGGAAGTCAGAATTTGGTCACCCTAACTTTCTCCTTTTTCTACACCACAGGACTCTGTGTAGGATAAAGAGGTGCTCTCAGAACTTTTATCTTACAAATATGTAATCAGCCACATTGAGTGCCGGTCAGCTCTGCCCATGAAGTTAGAAACTGCTGAGAGGACAGATATGCAAGCCAGGCTACAGTTTTCTGCAGAGGAGGTTAAGTACCCAACATAATTCAGCTAAATTACAAGACTCTGAACCAAGAGTTCATTTAAGTGTGAGTCTGCGGTGGCATTTTTCAGCACTTGTATTTTTGCAATTGGGTATCCAGCTCATCCTTTCACAATGCACATATTATGTCTGGTTAACCTTCAAATAATCTGATCAAATTTGAAACACTTCATAGATATGATTCATGTACCTCAATGGTGTTCTGTACCTGAGTGTGATAAGATGTTGTTACAGCTGCCAGGAGGCACATTTAAAACAGTACATTTCCTCAAATTCACGCTGTGTTGAAGCGCATGCTTCATCACTCTGGAGGTGCTTCTGACCTTGCATGAAATGATTTTGCCACAAGTGTTGTACTTCCCTGTGTCGTTATCTGCGACTAAACTAGCTGCGGTCAGCACAGCAGGTCATGGCAGAAAACTAAAATGTCCACGGACTGCACAAGTCTCAATGAGATTTAATCCTGGAAGATTTATGTTCCTCCGAGGAACCAAAAACAGAACTGGGATTCATGCGCTACAAATCTTAGAAATTTAGAAGCAGTTTGAACTTGATACCCAAGCCTATAGTTTAGTTGTACTTCTGTAATAAAAAAGAAAGAAGCAGTTGAAGTGAAAGATAATGAAAGTCATGCGTCTAGCATTTCATATGACTAATCTGAGTCACATATCTCAAATGTTTGTCAAAATGATGAACTAACCCCTGAATTTTTGAATGTACTGCAGCTTTTGTCATGTGAGTTTTAAGTTTCCTCAGAAGAGACAAAAGGTTTCTGTTTGATCCTGTAGCGTTTCATGAAAAAAAAACAAAAAAAAAAAAAACATAGGATCATACTCCCCCAGAGAAGTTTTCTCATTTCCAACCTTCCATTTCTTACTCAGTAAGTCAGTTTTTGGTCATGTTCACCTTTTGTTCTGGCCTTATTTAAACCCATGGGCATTCCTTGATCGATCTGTCTTGCTCTCTGTCATGGTTGAAATATAAATAGGCGACCCCCTCAGACCTCTGACTGGTCTGCATTCCTCTGCAGAGGCATATGAGCAGCAAAGATGAATGACAGTACAGATGAAAAATGGACCCATACAATCTGTTTCCTTGAGTTTTGGGTCTAAGTATGCACACTCTGTCCCAGGTAGCTTGGTAATTACAAATGCAGCTGTCAGCAAGGACTCTCTGACGCACCCCCTACCTCACACACGCATGCACACACACACGAACATACACACACACTTCAGAGGGAGTGGGAAGAGTTAGTGTGACCTCTGTGACCCGTCTTACCCACTGGACTCACGTCTGATGGGAGGGAGGCAAAGACAGAGGGCTGTTTTTCTCTCAGCCACCTGTTTAACATTTTATCTTGCAGCCTGGTGTGTTTGCTGTCACAGTCCATATTTGCATAGCCAGTGTTCTGCCTTTTCGGCCTCTCCTCAGAGGCAGGATGTTAATATGGAAGGAAAAAATAACCCCCCAGTTTTCTGCCTCAGAAAACATCCAATTTCTTCAAGGGCAATAAAACCACTTATGTAATGTTTACTCTCCCGAAATAAATTTAAACAGCAGAGGGAGGACACTTTTTTACTTCATGCAGCAGTGTATCTTAAGTTCATAACTCATCAAAGTTGGAATTACTTCCATGCAGTCTTCAAAATAACTAAAAGTCATAAAATCAATTTAGGGACATTTTTTGCAATATGTTCATTTCAAAGTGATTGGGTTACAAGAATGGCGAATCAGAGGCACGACTGACCTGACAGAGAGGAGACTAAAGGCCCGCCTCTGGTAGGCTGACATAAACTTATGTTTTCAATATGGCGATCGCCACCGATAAGCTTCAAAACGCTGCTTCACAAAACAAAAGGGCGATGTTCATCCATATATAGTCTACGGTGTTAACCAGGGATCTATGGTCATTTGTGAATCCCCCGTGATGTCACAGTTTGATGTGGCACATGTACACAGGGTAATTTAATGAAATTTACTGACATTTCTGATTAAAAACAATGAGGAGCTACAAAACATCCACCTTTTCTGTGTGGGTAGCACCACACTCTGTAATGAGCAAGAATTCATGAAGAGAAAAAGATGTTAATTTAAGGTAAAGTCCCTTAAAGACCATGCATTAAAAACTAAAGGATACATAAGGTTTATAAGTTCATGTTATATAGATGTTTCATAAGCTTCCATACTACACAGCAGTCTATATTGAGCCCAATCCCCGCCTTCTCCATCCTTTGTTATTCACATAGCGAGATGTGGATTTGAAGTGTCTGTGCAGGAAGTGATTGAAAAGCAACAATGAATAAAACACTAAACTTTTCTTTGGTTTTGTAATTATGAAGTGTGTTGGTTGGTTGGCTCAGTGGTGTAAATGTGGATGAATGACTTGTTGAAGTGTGGGATGTTGTGGAGCAAAATTAAACAAACACAAATGTGCAGGTGATGACTGGAATGAGGCCAGCTGTAAAAAGAGAGAGAGAGCAAGCGAGGAAAGGGTTTGGCTTTTTGTTCTCAAGTGTTAAGCCGATGTGACGTACCAGCTTTTAGTTTAGAGGAACAAGGATGAGTTAGTAAAGTTGGCTTAGAGAAAGTACAGCTCAGACCGTCATATCATCAAGTTAAATCAGATTTAAAACATTTACTAGGTTAGTATTAATTTGATCATGCAGTGTTAGACAGCGCGTCATCCTGCTGCACCCAGAGGGGACACAGAGAGAGACTGGATAACATCATATTAACATGATAACATCCCAGTGTTTCCAGGCATGTAGGTTATAGTAGTTTGTTGTATGTCATAGCCTGTAATGTCAAGTGATGGATTTAATCACCTATTTTTATTGCTGTTTCAATGTTCATTTCTATCTAAATGTTATTTGTATTTACTGAGTGGCATACCAGTAAGTAGGGAGTCTCTATACTTCGTATTGAAAGGATCCAGCTGAATTTGCATCCATACGAATGTCTAAATCCTTATTTATAATGTAGCCTTCATCATTTTTAACCAGCAAGAGCGACAAATATTACCACCCCAAATTACTGAAATGATGATTTGGATTGAATTAGTCTTATCAGTAGACCTTTGCATGTCTGGTGATTTGCCAAATTTATAAATGAAGACATGATTGATTCACATTGGATTAAAAACAGAGATGTCCTCCGCAGTTATTACAAATAAGCGGGCTTAGTTGGCGTCTGTCTAGCCATTGTAGGTCCACAACCAGTAAAATCCTGACAAATCTGAGGTCACCTGTAAAGCTCAAGCATTTTGGCGTGCACAGGAATATGCAGCTGATCCAACGATAGGCTGCTGCCAGTTTAGAAACACAACGCTTAACTGCATTCACAGATTAAACTTGCATACTACAAAGTAAGTTCTCAGACAAGTGCGTGGAGTACACAGCGTCTAAACCACGGCTTGGTAAAGAAATGACAGCCGACGTGCAAAATGCAGGTCGGTTTTAAGTTTGGTGAGTAATTCTGAGAAGAATGTTTGAAACGTGGTGAGTAAACGCTCATACCAAAATAGTCGTGTCATAAAAAGAAACAAGTATGCTGAGTTTATAGGGCTTGTTGGTGTACCTCCAGCCTCTGTCTCTCTTCTCCTGCCTGGATTTCTGAACTTATGGGGGTCAAACTGATGTATGCAAACATAAAGTAAATGTCACTGTCCTCTGATGCTCATGCACATAGCGAGAGACCCACCACATGCTGCTGTTTGCTGTAGGAGACATCAGCTACCCTGATACAAACTGTTTTTCACATCAAGGCTCTACACGTGGCCTTTCCATTCAATCTGCAAGCCGGATACCGTCGTTATTATTTTTCATATTGTCCACAAGAGATTTGATCTGTGTGCTTCTTTGAGAGAGGATGAAATATGCACTCAATTAATGAGCAAAGTCTGTGCTGGCTCTGCCTCTCCTGCTCCTGCTCACTGGGACAAACACACACGCTGTGCTGGATATAACTGTTACCACCTCCCTCCTGTAAATGCTTTGACATTGCGACCTCAGTTTATACTATGAGTGCAGTGCAACTGGTTTGTCTGACTGCTGTGTTACCATGTTAGTTTTGATTGTTTTATGCGTCACACTGGCCAATTAACTCCAAGCTTCCTTCTCATGTGATTCAGCTGCTCTAAAAATAGAGTAGCATTGAAAAGGAAGTGGAACTGGAAGTGTTTAAAGGTGACTAAATGAAGCGTACAGGAGAGAAGGTGTACGTTTTTATGAGATGGAAAAAAAAACAAAATAGTGTTGATAGCAATAGGGGATTTACAGCATTATGAACCATAGAAAACAACAAAAAAAAATGAAAAGGCAGACGGAAAATATTTTCACTGTTCTGTGGGAGTTATCCCAAATTAGCAACTGTTTTGTTTCTCAATCTATTAAAAATATGAAGTGGAAAAACTAGTAAAATGTGTGGTGGTGCTGAGGAAAGTTAAAGCTCACTAGTGTAACCATCTTGAAATAGCATTTAAGTTCTTAGGTTGTGTTGATAAAGTCTTAAATGAGCTTTTTTAAAAGGTTAATGATTTCTGTCTGCACCCTTGGGGAGTAAAATAAATATATTTCAGTATAAAAACATAACCCAAAAACTTTGCCAGAACATACCAAAAATGTCAAAAAGTCAAGACAGCAGAGCTCAAGAGAGGCCGCCTTAAATAATGAACTTATTTTTAGTTTACAAGGAGTCCCAGTTGACCAAGTTTCCATCAGGCTGTCAGTCCAAAGGAAAATAAAAGGAAACTAAAACTCCATCCAGAAGCTGCACCTTGTCTTTGTCTTTGTGTTTGTTCGACCTGTCCTGAAGGAGAGGGGGGCCTTGTGGGTAACGTATGTCTGTGACACGGTCCAGCAGGTTTGTTACGAGAAACCAGTCCCTCCTGTGTTTAAGTCAAATAAAGGAATGCTGACGTTTCGTGGACATAGTGAAGCCCATGCTGTCATGCGGCGCTTTAGCCGTCAGCGGAAAGTGTCCAGATAAGCTCAGGTTCAAGAACAGCAGGTTGTGAGAAGAGATGTGTGTGTTTTAGCCGGTCTCTTTTTTTTATCTATGATCCACCACTAAAAACATCAAATAGCAGGAGTATAAGAGTTATTAAAAAATCAAGCTGGGCTCTCCTCATGACACCTTGTGAAGCACACATTTTAAACAAATGTCTCATAGCAGGTAGATCACGTCTCTGTTTTTCATATGAGCTTTTTGACTGTAGGTGGTCATTGCATATTCTTGTGGGTCCAGTCGATCATATGCTGACAAAACTTGCAGAAAAGTTGCTCTTGTGATCCATTCTTTCCAAATTCTGGTTTAAATGTCGCGCTTAGTGTCCCATTTCTTAACTTTCGGATGACTTTGACATGTCAGATGGCCTTTTTTCGCCATGGCTGTCTTAACCGTGCCTGATGTGAAAACAGGTGACACAAAGACAGGTTGATGGGAGCCTCAGTGGTGAACACTTTTCTGTTGATTTAGTGAAAAACTCAAGTTAATGGGAAGAAAACTGATTCTTTTAATGCAAAGAAAACACTTTTTTTTCTCTGTATTTACAAGAAGTCATCAGGGGTTCAAATGAAAACAGTGAGCCAAGTTGTGTGAAATGAATTCGTGGTCAGGTGCATGTGACCTGTTCTGCATGTCATTTGCAACATTTACCTGCAAGAGCAGAGTGAACCTTAGTGAATCCATGTATGCTATGTTTGTGTAGAGTTGTCAAAATTGATGTAGTGGATCATGGATATCTGAAAACAGATGACGCAGAACACTAAAAACACTGCTGCAGAAACTCCAGCAGATGATGGAGAGATTAGTAAAGTTACAAGCAGCATTGCTACACCAGCTGCTGGCGCTAGATTACCTAAACCACCCTGCTCTAACCAGCTTCTTCCTGGCCCCATAACAAGACTCAAACACTGCCACCATTGGCTGCCCACATGACCATGGTAAAGAAGAGCATGTACAGTGTACAGTGGGCTTGGAAGTTAATTTCCCAGGTTATGGTTTGTTGTTTGAATGATTTGAACCTGCATGTGGAAGTGTTTTGGTAAACTGCTTGAACCACATTTGGAATGTTCTTGCTCGGTTGATTTCAAAACATAAATATCATGCAGGATTAACATCTGTACCATTTCTCATTCCTGACGCTGGTCACGGTCGCTGCACTCTCTTCAATCTCAGATGCATCATAAGTCATTTTGTTCAAGGTCTGGAGAAAAGTTCAACAGTTTGGTAGAACTTAGATTTGCAGATGGATATATATGTTTGTGCTTCCTTTTAGGCGGTGTCCTCCATAAAATATGTGGCATTAATAAGCTTGGATATCTTCATATGGAGAAAGTATCCGTAGCCTGTATGTTTTGTGCAGGTGTTTGTGCAATTGAAGGTAATCTAATCTTAAACAATGAAGGCCTGTTGTTCTGTTCCTGCCTAAAATCCTGGTGTGTCAGGATGATTTGTAGCAGAGGAGTGGTCAGTGTTTATGTTCCCCCCTCTGCCCAAATGTAGCATCAAGTCAAGGCCATGATGCCCCCTTGCATTCCTGTGCATGTCTATGGCACAGTGGAGATGTCACACCAGATAGTGGCTGTACCTCCACTCTTCTACTGCTCTATTCTTGTTTTACTGTGTAACTTCAGATGTCTAAACTACACAGCTTCAGGGAGTGCAGCTAAGCAGACGTTCTGAATGTAAACTTTGTTTCATAAACTTTGCCTCCAGCATCTCCTTTAACATACACTCACATTGCTGCAATGAGATGACAGTGTGTACATGTGTTCAGTAAGGTAGTGGAATTTGAAGGCCCAGAACAATGCTACCTCAGTGTAGAATGTGCGAAAACTTCTGCCCTCATCTGCTGAATTACTCCTTTTCCTTTCTCTGTTGTCCAGCTGCCTTGTAACCTCTTTGTAAGGTGAGGCCATAGAGTTTAAATAGCTAAAGTTGAGGAAAGGACACACTTACAGTCCTAGAGAGTGTGTTAATGCAAGTCAAGCCAGTTTGTGACCAACTGTAAAGTTCTCAATTAGTAAGGCTGGGGATTAGGGCAGGATCAAAGCACCCGTTCAGGATTTAAAAGTTGGACAGGAGAGACGAGGAGGAGGCTGGAATGTGTAAGAAGGGTGAGATCTGTGTGTGTGTGTGTGTGTGTGTGTGTGTGTGTGTGTGTGTGTGTGTGTGTGTGTGTGTGTGTGTGTGTGTGTGTGTGTGTGTGTGTGTGTGTGTGTGATTTGGGAGGGGGTCACATAATGAAAGGGTTGTGCTGAAACACCTGAAGTGCCTTCAAAGTAGCTACAGGCAGTGAGCTTTTTTGTAATGACTAAATGACCACATTAAGTAGAACTTCATTGATCCCATTTGGGAAGATCCCCTCAAGGAAAAAAAAAAAGAAGATATGAATAAAGTTTATGCAAAGGGACACATCTGTGTACAGGTTGAAATTATAATTCAAGAGCTGTTCTGTGGTTGAAAGAAGAACTAGTATCAGGGGTACTGATTATAATTGCAGTCCATACATCTGACCACACTTCAGTGTCGGCTGGTCAACAGAGGGCGCTAAGACACCCCGCCACTAGACCCCTAGATTACATGCTTCCTGTCTGGTTTTCAATCATTTCTCTTGTTTTAAGTTGTATCCATCAAAACAAGCAATAGGAGTTACTCAAAGCACAAATATTTGTGTTCACAGTGCATTACACACCAGCAGTTAGCAGGTGGTTTGACACATGGAGAGCAAGGCATGCAGGGTGAGGTCTATGTGGGTGAGTGGCTGAACCAGATAAAAGTTTGAGGCTTGAGTCACAGAGAAAGAGAGAGGGCTATTAGCAAAGTGCAGAAAAAATCTGAGTGGCCAAGAAATCATGCTGTTTGAGAGGAGATATTTGCAGGAGAAGCTGAGAGCTAAAGAGCTTCTTCTTGACCAGCCAGACTTCAGAAATAAAGAGCACTTCTGGAAGAATTAATACGTCCAAATTTCAAAGAGCTGGTTTACCTCAAGTGTGGCTTGGCTAGTAATGCTAATGTTTTATTTACCCCCCCCCCCCCAATTTTCTGAACATCAAGATCAAAATAATGGTTCGTTAAATGTAATTGATATGAAATGTTGAATCTATTCAAAGGCCAAATTGCCCAGCACTAGCCCAACTTCTGGTCAGAGTGTGGTGCCCAGCTCTTGACACTGAAGCTCTGTGTGTTTGAGCTAATTGGACTGGTCTGTAGTAGTCAGCGTTACTTTGCTCTAGTCATGTTGCTGATGGTCAATCAGTCAGCTTTTATGAAGAGTGAAAGAAAGTAATGTCTTTCTCTTCAGGGAATTGCTGTAACAGAACCTTTCAGCTTCTGGGCATTATCAACCCATCAACATTCCTAGTCCCACATGGATCATAGTGCATGCCCTATTGTAGAGTGCACTTGTCTTTCAGACCGGAAAGATGAGTATTTATACCCCCATAGGGCTTTGCTGAGCTGATTACATGGCCTGTGTTCCACTCATGCAATCGCCATTTTCTGCCTTAAACTCTGTGCTGGTGGTGGCTCCAAGGTGGATATGATAAGAAGGCTTTGTTCAGTGCTAAATGCATTTTCTCAGGTATGTAAATGAGTTGACCTGAGGTAATGGTGGACCCACCCTTGAATCACTGAAATTTATTGACTCCTCCTTTATAATCAATAAACAGCATAATATCCAGGCTTCACTTTTAAGCCTCCCATTGCACTTGGACCATCATTTTTCTATTTTTAAAAGTGCTCATCGATAAACCACATTATCATTTGGTGACTTCCCCCCATCATGTATGCTATGAATCTTTTAGAAGAAGAAGAAGAAGAACTTTATTGATCCCCAAAGAGAAATTAAATCATTTTAGACTAGCTTAGTATACACAACCACAGTGATGTTGAGGCCTAATGACCTTAAAGTTGTCCTAAAGACAATCATCCACACTCTTCACATGGAGGGTTAGCCACAGAAGGCTGGCTGTTCACAGACTGCTGTATCAAACCATATTAATAGACAGCTGACTAAAGGGGAAAGGTTTGGCAGGAAAAGGTAAGCAAGCACTGGGGACAACCACAGCCTTGAGAGAAAAGTTGGTTCAAGAGAGCTTCTTCTCAGGTATACTGAGGTTAATTTAGCATGTCATTTGTAAATCAAGGTCCTAGAGTCTGGAGGAAGAGTGTAGACGCACAGAATCCAACTTGCTGAAGTCTAATGGGAAGTTTCCACAGTCAGTGATGGTTTGGTGTGCAATGTTATCTACCAGTGTTGGCCCAATGTGTTTTATCAAGAGCAAAAACAACACTGCCGTCAACCAGGAGATTTTAGCATACTACATGTTTCCACCAGCTGGCATGCCATATAGAAATGTTCATTTCCTTTTCCAGCTGGACTTAGCTCTTTCCCGTAGCGCCCAAACTACTACTTATTACTGTGCTTGACTGGCCAGCCAACTGGCCATGTCCACTGAGAATGTGTGGGATATTTGTTTGATAGGATGATGAGAAACACCCCATCCAAAAATGCAAACTAAAACTGTTCAAAATGAAAAAGACACTTAGCGGAAGTTTGACACCTTTCTTTTGTTTCAAGAAAAGTTCATATTGAATCATGTGTAATTTAGTACATTTGATATATTTCTGCAATAGTCTACTATATTTACAAGTGACTAGTGTTGTTTTTTTTTTTTTTTTCATTTAATGCTAGAGCCAAACAGAACTGCTACTCCACCCTGCCCTAGCGCTTGATCTGGGGAAAAGGATCCCTTGTACATACCCAAAACCATGTACAACAAAGCTTCTGTCTTTAATTATTCATTTTCTCTTTCTTTTGTAAAAGGATGCAGTTGCACTTGGTGATCAGTGACTGTTTTGACTCTTCTCAGAATAAGACAATAAGTACATACTGTTTTGAGGCTATGACAGTGTTTGAAGGTGGTTAATGACAGAGTTAGTTTTACGCATGAATGAAAAAGACAGCAGACTGGAATTCACAAAACCTCTGCCTAAATAAAACCATGTTGGAGGTCATGGGTAGTAATTTAAACCATGCTGGAGGCAGAGGAATTCACTGGGAGTCATGAGCCCTGTTTTGACCCCACACCACAAGTCACTGGCCTTGTCCTCCTTCAAATATAGCTGACAAGGGAGAGGCATACAGCTGTAGATTTTTTTTCTATAATGCATGTCATGAAGCCTGAGTTTACTGACCCAAAGGGACCTTGTGACAGTGACGGGGCATAAATAATTGACTCTCATCTTTATGCCCTTATGTTCATGTTCATAAATCACGTTTATTTTATGCCTAACATTGCCCATTGGATACCATATGAAAAAAGGTTGACTGGTATGTATCATTTTCATTCAGCAAGTCATGGTATGTGAGACTCCTCGACTTAAAGCTGACATTTTCTGCATGCGCAACATGTCTGGACTAGCTAGCAGCAACCATGTTTGTAGTTTGTGCTGGAATGCAGTGATCCTTAGTGTGTGTCATTGAGAAAAAGATGAGGGATAAATGAGGAGGGATGAAGACTGCAGCTGAGCTTGTTTAGATTCTAGACAACCCTAGCTGGGTTGAGCTTAATTTAAAAGGCTGAGTATCTTTCAAACAAAACTTTTTTAGGTGTTAAAAAAGATACTAACACTTAAATACTCCTTGAGTGCAGTACTGATACGACAGGTCCTGAAAATCAGAGAAGACCACACACACAGCATGTACAGCCTATCCTTTAGGCTACTGAACAGTACAGTAACTTTCTCAATCTTCTAAAAATAGACTGAGTTTTTTCTGTAATCAGATATAGGAAAGAGTCTTAAACAAAATGCACCTAAAACTTGAAAAGGCTGAAAAAAACAATGCTGTTTGAGAAGTGATCTTTGCAGGAGAAACCAAGAGTTAAAGAGCTCCCACTCGATCACCAAGACATCGATAATTTAACAGCTCTAAAACCTTTTAGTTTTAAAGGAGCTCAAAACAGACTGAGTTAGAATTCTTAAAAGCTTTGTGCTGTGAACTCAAACTGAAGTTACTTGTGATCATCGATGTGTGTGTGTGTGCGTGCGTGCGTGCCTGTGTGTGTGAAGAGTGAGGAGAGGGATTTACAGAACAGGAAGGGCAAACTCAGGAGATTGTCCCTGTTCTTGTGGCCTCTTCTGTGGCATGAGCAGACAAAATGAAAACCTTTGGTTAGTCATCCAGTCATTAGGTCTTGACCCTAAACACAGTTTCATGGGGGAAGTTGATGTCTTGTGTAATAACCTGTGACGTATGATGTTCCTGTGTGCATGCTTTCATGTTCATGTGTTTGTGTGTGAGTATCATAAAAATATGATTCTTCTAAATTTAGCCAGAGCTACATGTGTTTGAACCTAAAGAGCTGACCCACATGAATCATGATAACAATAAAACACATAGAAAAACGAGTGATAAACCCTTAAGTAGAAGGAAAAATCTCAGTTTGCACAGGCTTACTAAATATGGGTCCATACTTATTTCTAATAGCCGTGCTTGATTTTGTGATGATCTCAGCCTGTTGATGTATGTATCGGGATACATATAGTATCAACATATTCTTGATAATACACAGCTCTAATGCTCTTAAGATAAACTACAAGTTGATTACAAAGAGAAAAACAAACTGGCCCTCTAATGTAACAAAAGCATCTGCCAGCCAATCAAATGTATAAATTTTTGAACAAATGATGGTAGATCTGAGGGACTGTATGGTTGGTTGAGTGACATGATTGAAATATATTGCTTTTAGCTTTATTTGGGATGGATACAGATGGTGCAGGTTGCAGATATTGACAAATGCATTGAAGTGAACATGGACTCTTGATTGCCATTTGTGCTGGCAACAAATACTCTGTTAAGTGCCAGCAACCCAATCTTTTACTGATCTGACCCTAGCAGCTTGACTGCAGACCTCCAGGGGTGTTGTCTTTCACTGGGATGGAGACACTGCAGATGGTCCAGGACTCTCCTCTTTAAGTGCTGACATTGTATCCATCAAATTCCTCTGAGATTTTCTTCCAATCCCTGCAGTTTGAACCTTGCATTATTCAGAAGGAGACCTCTGGCCTCTCAGAGGAAAAGAAAGACAATCAAGGATGAAAAAGTAGGATTACAGATACATGACATAGATCCATTACCTGAGGATGCAACATTAAGATAAATTGCATCTTATTGGGCATCAATATCTGGCTCTTCTTGAAATATTTGGCCAAATACAATTTTAACTACTGCAGCTACTTGAGATTTACTCTTAGTCTGGAGATGAAAATGTTTGTTTGTGTCACATTTTGGTCTTTTGTGCCTTCAGTAATTTTGGTCAAGTTTAAGAGAATAAAAAGTCAGTAAATATCAGTCATTATTTTTCGTCAAGTAGCCAATCAGGACTTGGTATCTAGGTTAATTTAGATGTTTTTTAATCTCTAAAGCAACATTTCACACAATGAATGATTTCAGTTGTGTGTTACCTGGACTCCTTCCCATAGTTTGATAATAGACTCCCCCACATTGCAGTGCTTTTATGTAGTCTTTGCCCCATGTTGGAAAATACTATTAAAGGTGATGGACCAACAAAACAATCTGCAGACACTGTCAGAAAGCAATCACCTACACGAGTTTTATGGGACACCACCTGTCTTTGCATTGACTGAAGATTCAGGCTCAGTGTGCAGAGGTTTTCTGTAGATCAAAGAGAAACATCATTGTGGACTGTGTCTAAATGGTTTTGAAGCATGCAAGATTGTATGGCTTAGATTGTGTTTCAAGACACTTTTTCTCTCACTGTTGATGTGCTCACACATCTGAGCCGACAACATCAAGTGGACTTGGCTCTTGAACAAAGTATAGCTTGTTATAATCAATTGTGCTGCTCGGTCTTAACATGGCAGTCCAAGCTGTGGAGGAGCAGCCTATATCTCACCACAAGCTCATATGAGTACACAGATAGCCTTTTGTTACAGTGCCATGTGATATCATATCTTAGAAACTGATTCTTGTCATGACACACGAGATTCCTGACATTTCATTTAACGTTGCAGGTAAGTTTCTTGGTAAATAATGTTTCCAAGCTACTCATAGATTGACATCAGTGTGTCCAGATGAAGATGTGCAAGCATACAGTTGAACACACAGTCGCTTTGTGGTAAACATGGTATCTATGTTATGTTTTCAGATATCTGTCTCTCAATCCGTGTGACATTACCTCTATTCACATTCTTCAGTGTAACAGTAAACATGTCAGGCTGCCTTCAGGGGGAAACTTGTCAAATCCATCAACAAGAATCATAAATCAAGACAATGACATCTAAGGAAACGTGATGTCTGCTGCTCAATAGGAGGTTTCTATAACTCAGACATACAGGTTCAAAACTGCTGTAAACTTCACATGTTGGATGCCAGTATGGCATTTTTGTGTTTGTGCAACATACTGAAACGAGACAGTGATACGCATCAGTTAAAAAACACTGTGTGCTCTTCCTCCGTGTTGACAGTTCAGAGTCCTTTTAACTGTTCTGTGTCTGACTGAGACGCCAGGACTGCAGCACATTCTACTGCTACAGTTGTGAAAACAGTTTTATTTGAATGGTGTATGTCATGCAGCTATGACAATTATTTTCAATTAACTTTTCAGACTTGGAATTTTATTCTCGTAACTTCTGATACACTTTTGACATTTGTAAATTTTATCATGACTGACATGAAAATGTACAGGGAAAGTAGGGCTATGCTAGATAACACCCAAAAAAGCTATTGGCTATAACTTACCAGGTTGCAAAAGTCTGTCTACGATTTCACTCCAATATTTCTTTTTAAGATTTTCATGATTGTCACTCAACAACAAATCAAAGACAGGCAGGTTCCTAGAAAGTATGACCCAAAATCAAGCGATCAGCCTCGTGTTGAAGACTACTTGTATAAGACCAAACATTACTGTTATTCAGTCCATCTAGCTAAGAGTGTAAAACGGTGCATCACAGGCTAAAAAACTGTAAAAACAATGTGCATGAGCTCACAGCCTGCAGCAGAATCCTAGTATTTGTCAGCTGACATAGTAAACAACATTACCCTCTGGGTAGTAGCTGTTGTAAATGGTAAATAGACTTACTTACATCACGTTTTCCAGTCTAGTGATCCTTCAGAGGCTCTTTAAGTCAGCAGTTCACCTTTTACACACACATTCATTCATTAATGGTCGAGGCTGCTTTATAAAGTGTCATTATGCCCATCAGGATTCTTTTATTACGACTAAAGCTAGACTCTAAGTATCAGGATGTCAAACAGTGTCTGTTTGTCAGCTTAAGCTCTGAGCTTTGGAAATCTCAGTGGACAGCTTTCTGGCTTTTGCACATGCAAACTTCAGTCAACAGCTACACTGCTGCATTTTGTTGCCTCATCTCCCTGGTATGGCCAAAATCTGAACTATTCTTGTTCTGCCCGTTTACCTCAAATCTGCCTGTTTACCTCCACTTAAGCAGAGAGAGAGAGTTCTGGGACTTCTTGAGCTCTGTTGTTTCATTGGTTCCTGTAGATTGTTTGTGCAGATGGTCTGCTGCAGTGGACCTCCAGGACTCCAACTGCTACAACTATTAATATCAGTCTTACCTTTATCATCATAATGTCCATATTAAGCGACTTCACTCCAGCTGCTAGAAATAATATAATAATACTTTTATTATTGTAATGCCAGTGCAGTCTGTCTGTTAAAGTTTGTCTCTGCCACTTATTAAATGTGATCTGTTGTTTTCCTCATGGTGGGTTAATGTTCAGTCTTTGATAGTAGTATAACTAAGAGCACAGTCTAGGCGTGCACTTTTTGTTAGTTGATGCTGTACTAATAAAGTCTCATTGACTGATATGTGGAAGTGCTAAGGCCTTACATTAGTGCCTCCTCCCTGCACTCTACTCTGACCTTCACATGCAGATAAATAGGAAGTGCTGCCGTGGCAACTACCCCAGCTGAAGGAGGAAATGCTTTTTGTGATGTTGTTGCACGAGGACATCATTCCCAAAAATAAAGGTCAATTTCACAATCCCCTGTATTCTGTTTTAGACGCCGGGTTTCTCCCAGCCTGGGATTGTACCTCTAACTATTTTGGAGCGGATGTGCTAAAGCACACCATGAAAGCTTTATAGGAGAGGAGAGAGGACACATCACTGATTCACCTGCCCAGATTTGACTAATGAGCCCTCAGAGTAGCAACACGACTGGAAAAACCTCCCTCTCTTACAGTTCACCTGTTGCATTGAGCAGTCAGTGTTGCTGCTGTAGTCTGTATGTTTAGTGATTGTTTACTGTATTCATTAAAAACCTGTTGCCCTCTGTGTTGCAGTGGACGCCTCAGACAGTTACACAGCCATATATGGAGAGACTATGGTGATACCATGCAACGGTGGCGCTCCAGCACCTGAAGATCTGATGTTCATCAAGTGGAAATACGTGAGTGAAATAAACTCTGAATACTGTCCATTAATGTTGTCTAATACTGTCTTTCTTAGCTTACATGCAGACGAAAAGAATTATTCTCCAATCTGATGGTCTGGTTTTTAAATGTACAGTTAAACAGGTAGAACAAGGTACGTTTACCTAAGTTATAATGTCACTACTGATTTAGATGCTAATGTTTTCATTAAATATCAGAAATATTGAAGGATTTTCGAAGATGTTAACGTCTTCAAAAATATAGATGTGAGATTTGGATATTTCATATTTAAATCCTGATTACTAAGGCCAAAATATTCACAGTAACAGTGTTATCACAATATATACGGAAATTTTTAAAATTATAAAACAAAATCAGTCAATTTTAAAAAAGCAAGACAGAGTGGAGTGACACATTACCCCATAAACTTAGCTTATAAACAAATTTGACTCACTTACATCTCGTTCCTCCTTTCTTTATGTTTATCTGTGTCACCAGTTCTGAGATGGAAACTGTCATGACTATGTTCTGTTTAGTTTTGTGTTACAGAATGTCAACAACCACCCTCTCATTTTTATGGGAACTATAAAACTCATAAACTGTGAAAAACTTCACTTTCATCTGTAATCTTCTACGACATGATGCCCTGCAGTAAAAGCTGCACACTGTAGTAAAGCCTAGTGTAGGTGACCCAGTTTGGCCACTTAACATTCAGAGAGCAGATTCGCTTGCAGAATTATAATATATTGTCAATGCTTTTATTTTAACATTTGCACTGTCTTGCACTGAAACTGCTTTTTTCCTATATTGTATAAATAAATAAAAAAGCTTTTAATTTGAAATGACAGTTACGCGACAGTTACTTCAGTAGCCAGCTGATTGCATCCCTACTGCTGCTGCTACTTCTTTGTTTCCCCAATATTTTTGAGGCAGGTAGCATCCTGACTAACAACCTACCCCTGAAAAAAATCAACTGATCACATGGTGTTATCATATATTTCTTTTCAACACAACATCAGTATTCCTTTTTTTGTTATTGGATCATGCAACAGAGATGACTGACAGTCCATTTAGCTAAAAATGCTAATATTTTCAGACACATGTGTAGAGGATTTGCAAACCTCTCTTTACCTACATTTTTTCATGGTCTTACTGATGAGAAAGATGTGTTTGTATTTAGTCAGCACATTAAATACTGTGCCCCAGAATGCACTTGATAAAGTCCCTCTGACTCAAAGTTTTGAATGTGATTAGGGTTGAGGAAAGTAGAACCGTTAGGATTTAATTTTTTTTTTCTTTTCTGTCACCTCTCAAGGGTTTGTTCTTGACTGTTTTTATTTCATGGCCTCTCAGGACAGTTAGTACATTTCACAGCCCGGTCATGAGCATGTGACTGATAAAGATCGTAAACCTTGTTTTCATTCTCCAGGATAAAGAAGACGGCACTGCTGGTGATCTGCTGATCAGACAGGCTCGCAGTGAGGAGGCCACAGTGCAGGCCACAGATGGTTATGCCCAACGGGTCAGCACTGACGACAAGCTCAACCTGCTCATCACCGAGGCTACACTCAAGGACCAGAAGACCTTCACCTGTATGGTGGTGTCAGAAACCAATGTTATGGAGTACCCAGTTGCTGTTGTTGTTCACAGTAAGCTCTCTGTCTCTCTTTGTATATCACACTCTCTTTATAAGCCTTCTAGCTTGTTTAAAATGGTGCAGAGAAAACAAAGCAAATACTGAAAAATATATTGTTTTATAAAAAGGATATATTCATTTTAAATTTGATGCCATGTTTCCAAAAAGTTTGGACAAGGGCATGTTAACTCTTGTTTTTCATCACCTCTTCTTTTAACAACACTGTTGGTGTTACACAGGTGTTACACAATGTCAAATGTTTTTAAGTAAGGGCTGCAAGCGAGCCAGTTTAGCATAAGGACTTGTCTACAACAGAGCCATGCTAGTTTGGTATGTGTAGAATGTGGTTTTATGTTTTCTTGCTGAGATAGCTGTCTTTAGATAGTTGCATATGTTGCTCCAAAACCTATGTGCAATGGTAACTAGTAATGACCTCTTCAGATGTGCAGCCTAGCCATGCTACAGGCTCTTATGCATGCCCATATCATCACAGGTGCTGGATTTAAAACTGCGTTATGATAACAAACCAGATGGTACACAGAGTGCATGTTTTCTGTGGTTTCCAAAAAGAATGTGAAATGTCAAACCACCGTTGGCCTGGTGGTTTAAGGCATGTGCTTCATGTGAGGAGGCTGCCACCCTCATCACACTGGTCACAGGACTGACTCCTGGCCTTTGTATGATTATGTGTATTTCATACCCCTCACTGTCCCCTCATTTCCTGTCTCTCTCAGACTGTCCCATCAGTGAGGGCAAAAAACTGGAGTGCTCTGTTATCCCTGTCCTAACTTTGTAAATGAGCTGCTTGTATCAAATCTAAGTGACTTTTTGAATAAAACAATACATTTTTCAGTGTTAATATTTGCTATATTTCCTTTGCACTTTTTTTAATGAAATATTTGACGTTTTCATTTTACCCCTCCATCCCGGAGTAAGAGTTAAAGTTAATGTTAGTAGGAAAACATTTGTACATGTAGTTGTTCACTTTTTAATCTGTAATCTCTGCTTGTGTGTTTAAAGAGAAACCATCTTCAGTGCAGATTATGGACAAGCCTGCTGCTCTGCAGAAGGACAAACCTGTGATGGTAAGATACACCACAGCTTTTACATTTTAGCCAGGCTGTCTAATTGATGTCTTCTCTGAGCCATGTTTCCCTCAGCAGTATTGCTATAAATAGGTTTAATAGTGATTAAATTACAAAAATTAGATACAAAGTTTGTTACTTCAAATTCTTGACTGATGAAGACTTGAGGGAAAAAAATTTTTGGTTAGTTCTGATTTGACGTGGGCTTCTCATCACAAGCTAACATGGAGTCCCTTCTGTCAGTGATGTTTTATATTCAGTTAAAAGTACAGACTCATCTTGTCATTTGGAAGGGAGTTAGACTCCATCACTTGGGAATATGCCCCCATGTATCAGCCTTATATTAGGCTATATTTCTTTTTTACACCACTCGGCAAAGTATAAGTATATTTGAGATCAAATCAGTCTGGTGAAAATGTGCAATTGTGTCGACGATTAACAGTTTATTCCATGATAGCAAGTAGAAATGCAAGATGAAAACATATATTTAAGTGCAAGTGCAGTACCGTCTTTCTTTCTGGAGAGCCAGATGTTTGGCACCTCTCCTCATTATTTGTTCACTAATGTTCAGGGTTAAGACCTGAGAACAAAGCAGTGGAAACTCTCAGAGAGCAATAAAGGTGTGTGTTAAAGAGATGAACATTTCTGTGGGTTTGCTCATTTTCTTCACTGGGAAAAGTTATCGAGCACTTCTTAATGAGCATTGAGTGTTCACGCAGCTTGTAGCCTAGTCACAGCATTGTTTGAGAACAAAACCTTGGGGCTGCCCAGTGCCTACAGTGTCCTACTTTGAATTGGATTTGCTATTACATTGAGGTATCAACTCTGTACCAGCCCTTTCTTTGTCATTGGCTAATGAATTACCTCCAGTTACAGTTTGTGGATTCAGCCATGATCCTTATCTCAAAACTTTGTTGACTCACTGTGTCACAAATGATGCAATGTTACATCTGCACAGAAGGTGCTAACAGATAAGTACAACTGCAGTGGAGTGCGAAATAAACACAGATATTTAATCGTGAAAGACTGATGTTGCTTCTGATGGAGTCTCAGAAATTTACAACCAGTTCTAAGTTGGAACTGTTTCTTTAAACCCAAGCTACAATCCGGTAGTTACAAGATAAATTCATGAGCTTAAAGTGAGCAAACTTTTGTGAGAACTGAGTCCCGAGTGTGTTCAATTTATCAGCAAAATGTACAGTTGGGAACAGCGGTGGAGATCTGTTGGGTTATTGATTGACAGCACCAAAAGTGAAAGGAGTTTTCTCCAGAGACCTTGCTGTATCATGCATATCTGTAATCACACAGCCCTCTCCCTGAGGCTGGAGATTAAGCAGAGTGGGACGTTTCTCTGTATTTCCCAGAAATGCCCGCAGCAGGAGGGAGAGTTGGTGTTGGAGGACTTAATTGGCACGCTGTTACAGTGCATTCCTGGATTTGTTGAATCAGCAGACTATTAAAGACAGAAAAATTATATTGTCTTGCTGGTCAGATATAATTGCACTGTGTAATCGACCAAATGTGGCTCACAGGCCGTGAGTTTGACACCCATGTTTCATGAGTCAGAGGCGCAGGGCAGATAGTGAAACCCAGTGCTTTGGGAAAGGAATGTTCTTATGATGCTGTCCTTATCTGGTTCACACAGTGTGTACCCAGCTACCATTACTGACCTTCAAATGTACCAATGAGGGAGCTTTACTCTAAAATCAGTCTATTAATTTGTTAAAGGAGACATCTCTGATGAATGACCTTTTTGCTAATCCCTCATTATTTAATACACAAGGCTAGAGGAATAGAGCAACATTGAATTTCCCTTCAGGGATTAATTAAGTTCTTATTCTTATTCTTAGAGTATTTGTTGATACAGAAAAAGAGAGTAAAGCACAACATAATAAACAGCTTTAACAGATAATTTCACTGTTTCCAGTAAAGTAATCCTCTGTAATCAAACCTAGTTAAATCAGTTATATTTTCACCCTGTCCTTCATGTGTTTTTTCTTTCTTCGTAGGTGGGAACATGTGTTGCAGCTGAGGCTAACCCTGCTGCTACAATCTCATGGAAGAAGAATGGAAAGCCCTTGGCAGCTGATGGGAAAGGTAGTTCACATATGATGACACATGTGGAAAGTATTCAGCATTCACACACTCAGTTTGTGGTTGTACAGAGATCCCAGGGGTCCAGTGAGTGTTATCATGGAGTGATAAGGGGAGTCAAAATAGGTTAACTCATATTGATTCATATTTACCAAACCTGAAGAACACTTAAAGCAGCGGTATGATGCTTTGTTTTATTTTTCAAACAACTTTTTCAAACAAATTCAAGTCTAAATGGAAGATGTCAGTACCAAACATGGGCAAAGTTTCAAATTGTGAGGTAAATGTGGGTTGGATTAATCCCTGGATGAGACCGAAGGCTGCTCTGAATAACATGTTATGAAAGCCAGATAAGAGTTCTGCCTGAAAGACACAAGATTTTCTCAAAAGAGAGAAAAAAAAAGTACATTTACCAAACAAACATCCAGCTTTGTGTCATAGATTTTTTTTGCCCCTTTTAAACCTTTGAGGTCAGGTTTGGGGTCTACAATATTTGGGCTGTGTTCATTTTTGGGCATTTTGACCAGAGAAACAACAGTTGGCTCAAAAAAATGACAAATTCTGTTGCATGCCAACAAAGAAGGAGGCTTCTAGACTAATGAGCTCTGGAATGCTGGGGGGGTGAGGACAGTAGTTAAAAAGAAGCATTTCAGGCAAAGTCTAAATCATAGAAAAGCTGTGACAAACCCATCAAAAGGACAATATAGAGCCTGAAAAATGAGCTCCCCTGTTTCATTACACATATTTGAGCTTACTGGGTCTACTGGTCAAGAAAAGATGCAATTATATGATATGAACTATCAACACTTTTATGAGTTATCGAGACAGTTTTTGAAAGAGTGGGAAGTTTGCTTGATCCCAGTCTATCTGCTGATACATCTACATCAATACAACCCTTCTTTTTCTGGTGCAGTGTAATACTCACCAAAATGTGTGTTTTGTCATCTGCTTGTTCACCTCTCCCTCTGCAGCTGTTGTGATCACCCCTAGCATGAAGCTGGATCCAGCCACAGGCCTGTCCACCACCTCCTCCACCCTCCAGTACACAGCCACCAAGGAGGACATGGGTGCAGTCTTTGCTTGCGTGTCCACACATGAACAGACCAATCAGGAAACTGAACTGGAGCCCCTCACCGTTCACTGTGAGTTGACTCAGACCCAGCTGTACCTGTATGTTCTCCTGAGTTTTGCTGCTCACAGGCAGTCATGTTGATTGTTCTCAGAAGTTAAGTTTTACCTTCAAGTTGTAGTTAGATTATTAATGACAGGTCACTGTTCCCCTCATGTTTTATTCCTCTCTCCTTTTAACTGCTTTCTGAACTTCACAGATCCAACCGAGAAGGTCAGCCTCCAAATAATGTCCCAGGGGTCCATAGTGGAGGGTGATAATGTGACGCTGAAGTGTCAGGCTGATGGGAACCCTTCACCCAACTCCTTCATCTTCTACGTAAAGGTCAGTCTGAGACTGTAAACAAGCAGACCTAGGCTACAGTTCATCTGGCCTCTAAGTGGATGTAATAAGTTTTCATCTTCTCCTCGTCTTCTCTTTTCAACAGGGCCAGAAAAAGCAGGTGGAAAATTCAGACACCTATGCTTTGCCTTCCATCAGCAGAGAGGCTGCCGGAGAATACAAATGCTCCCTGACCGACAATGACAAGATTGAAGGCGTCCAAAATATTGTTGTGAGCTGTAAGTTCTCACATCGTGGCAACTTCTGGGCTCTGGTTTGCAAAGATAACTGAAGCAGACAAATTAACTCAAATATGTCTTGGGCTCGTTCCATATAACTCCCTTGGCAAGCATTGTTGTAAAACTCACATCAAATCTAAATTTTACTCTACAAAATAAATAAATCACTGCTGAGTGACTCCACTAAGTGAAGTTTGAGCCTGAGGCTCAGCAATGACAGAGACAAACATCAGCTCCAAATATCTGCTGTTAAACTACCAATCACATTTCACACTGTCTGTTTCTTAGACCTGGACCTGAGCCTAAGTCCCACTGGTAAGATAGTGAAGACAATTGGCGAGCCCTTGACAGTGAAGATGGAGAAGAATGCATCGGGAGAAGCTAAAGTGTCATGGACAAAGGTAATGGTGATGGGAGAGAGCGACAGAGGGGTTTGATGTTGGATTATTGAAGGAAATGAAACATTTATCAAGACACCATCGAGAGCAGATAATAGTTTCCTTATACCAAATAACACTGGGCATCAGTGCTTTCATCAGTGTTTGCTGTGCTCCAGTACAGAAGAAGGAAGTTATCTTACATCTCTTTTGTTTGAAGTTATAGCAATATTTGGCTCTAGAAAACACTGATGAATATTTTGACCCTGATTTCAGAATGGAAAGCCAGAGACAGAGCCAAACTTAAGCAAGTTGGCATATGCTGATGCAGGAGTCTACGTTTGTGAGCTGTCCATGGGCGGCCTTACACGGCGGCAGAGCTTTGAACTGGGGGTAGAAGGTGAGTAAATATGCATGTGTTGAACGTGATTCCTTTGTTGATGGTGTTGAACTAATTTAACAAGTAAGGCTTGACAGTAGATCAACACACAACAGGATATTGGCTTTTTGTAAGTTTGAATATATTTGCAAATGCAATTGGCTTCACTAACTGGGCACCAGGATTCCTCTGGCTAAACAAACACAGATACTTTCCTCTCTTCCCCATAGTCACTGAAAAGTCACACACACACTTAAGCTGTTCATCACTTCCTTTCTGACAAATTTTCTTCCATTAGCAACAAAAAAAAACAGTGTTGATGTAAGACTAAGACAGGCGACTCTAGGACTGAAATAGCACAATAGCAATGTGCAAAGTTTGCAGGATATTATTGTTCCAGCTGATGAGTTATGTGTCGTCAATGGAATCTGGAAAGTTTTTTTTTATGCCAGGTCAGACCACATGATTTAAGCTTGATTGTAGCCTGTTTCAGCAGGGTGTTTGGACTCTCAGCCCCCAAAACTGATCATTTCCTCCCTTATGATGTGTCATAGTGAGCAACAACTACAAACACATTCGCAACACCTTACAACCACCCAAGCCTGATCAATGAGATCACAGAAATCTCTGCATATGCAAAGGTCACAACTGCTAACAAACAAAACAGGGAAGTGAAAGAGGAAGGATGACGTTGGTGATGTGAGATCACTAAAAAAAATTAGCCACCCTTTGAAAACCAAATGTCATATTTCTAAAGTTCCAAGGGGCTTTCTTTCTGGGTTGATGCGGGCGCCCCTGTGGTCAAGATGTTAATTGACAAAAAAAAAATCCCCCTCCCCTGCCTCTTCACCTTAAAATTTGTTACTTGCTGTTTCTTCAGCATACCTACCCCCTCACAGTGGTGATAGGCACTGAAAATGAAAAAAATGTATTGATTTTCAATCTAGCTGCTAATGGTCTCTTTTGCATATTTTCATCATACAGACACATCACTGTTTATTCCAGGCTGTTTTATAACCTGTGAAAAAACTCCTTACAGGAGCTTTAAATGACATAACATATCCCAATATAGCTCAAAGGAGGCGAGCAGGTTGTTAAAGTAACAACATAGAGTGCTTTTTTTTTTGGGTGAGGTTTTTTTGCCCTTTGTCTAAAGAGGACAGAACAGTGGATAGAACAGGAAAAGGGAATAAGGGAGTAAACGCAGGTGGGGATCAAACCTAGAGGTGAATGGGGCGTGCATAGACCACCAGACCAGCAACACCCCTGGTGATTTTCAAAGGACATATTTTCTAACAGGGGGACTCCTGTCTTGTACTTTTGTCTTGACGGCAGTAAACAGAGCCTGTGATCATCTAAAGTCTTTTAATTTGACTAGGATTTTATCAGCTTTTCAAGAAGAAGTCTAAAGTAACCCAGACTGTTCTGTCACATCATCCTCTGTTTGAATATTGTGTTCAAAATGAAAAAACAAAAGCAAACAAAGTCTGAATTTCTTTGGCGTTCACACTCCTGGCCACTAAAGCTGGTTCTGATTCCCATCAGGAAAACCTGTGATCACCAGCCTGACCAAACGCCGTGCTGATGAGGAGGATACCAAACACAAAATCCTGACCTGTGAGGCTGAGGGAGTGCCAGAGCCCAAATTCCAGTGGAATGTCAACAGCACAGACGTAAGTGCTGGTCATGAATGTGTAAAGAGCTCATGTTTTTGTATGTTCAGTGTTGTTACTGGAGAACAAGAAGCTTCTGCAAAATAAAGCAAGTCTGCCATGAGGTTTTTTAGAGGTTCTGTTAAGATCTTGCCTGTTCACCTTGTTTCTGGGTCAAAGAAAAAGAGCTCCTCCTCAGGTTTCACTCCTTTGTAGTCGTGCTGTTTTTGGACATTCAGAGCTGAACTTGTGTGCATACTGGGGTTGCTATGATACCTATTTTTTTTTTCATTTTGATACAGTATCAGCAGAAAAAAAAAAAAACTTACTCTTAACTTATTACAAAAGTTACTGTGCAGCAGTATGGAGATGCTTATTAATGGTCTTCAAGCTGCAACAAGTACAAAACATTAGAGACCAGGTGATGTTGTTGCCTCTCTCCTCTCTTCTTTGTCTGTCAGGAACAAACAGAAATGTAACATGATTTTATCAGACGCTTGTTATGTCCCTGCACATAAAATGATGTGTGACTCCCACTCCTCCTAAGAAAACCAGCACTATAAATCAAACTTAACAAAACAGCAGTTTTAATGAGCAGTATGTCCAAACAGCAAACTAAAGTTCTACTTTAAACTTGCCAAACAGTGAGACAAAATGTAAACACGTCAAATACCTTAGCTAATCTCCAAACACAAAAAAGAGAGAAAAAAAGATAAAACAAAAGCTACTCCCTCTTACTCTGATGTTACCCAGTGCTGTATATTTACAGTGTTTTTCTATTTATCAAATATATACAAGCTAATTAGCTAATCTACCATCTATCAAAGTCTAGCCTAAGTCTCTGCACACAATATTAGAAAACCCAGAGCTACACAGAAAACTCAGATCCAAAGGTCAGAACACACAATCTAATGCCGGTCAGTTAGAGTTCAAGAGACAGGGAGAGCAGTCTGCAGCAGTTTGGATTTAAACCAGTGAAGATCATCCTCACCCAATCCAGAAGGAGCACTCCTGTTTGAATCGACCAATCAGAGGCTGCACCTGCAGCAGCACCTAATCAGACACACCCACAGAGACACTCGCACAGAAACATACACATTCTGCAGCTGAGGAGACAGCTGCACAGCACAGGAGGAACAGATAACCACATATATGACCCAGGGTCAGAACAGTGTCAAAGGTCAGTATTTACTGACCTGTGAATGAGGAGAATAAGCAACAGTGACCGTGACTGTGTGCACACGCTGCAGGCAGAGGGAAGCGCAACTTTTGGCTGCAAACAAACAAAATCCAACACCTCCCTTCACCTTTTCATCCAAAAGTTCTTAAGAGTGTAGCTGCTGTGAAATAATTAGAAAATAAATATGTTATTTTCAAGTTTCACTGCCTTGTTTAAGCGGCACTCTGTGGGGGTATAACCTCCTTAGGTAAATATCATCAGGTGATTAAAAAAATAATAATAAATATATATATATATATATTTCGGATCATCTATTTTTGAATTGAAACCAGATTTGAGAACCATATTTTTTCATCCGTTTTGAGAATAATGGACAAAGATGGTAAAGAGTCATGAACTTTTTTTTCTGAAAGAGAAGGCCTGGTCTACTGTAGGAATAACACGTTACGGTCATTACAGTACATAAACCAGAAAAATCCTTGTCTGTTGGTAAAGTTCATGACAGATTGATTCATAGGAAAATAACCCACAGACTCAAATAAAACTGTGAACTACTGTACCCATCACAAGCATCAGTGCTCTAAAAGAAGCATTGCCAACAGGAGGCAGGATGTTGTATTTTACTCTAGCACATATTATGGCTTTGTATTTGCTGCCCGCCCCAAAGTTTCTTTATGATAATGACTACTCCAGTATTTGTCAATTTATCCGGCATCCCGCTATCACACTGAGTCCCCATCTTTTTAAGACCCTCCTCTTTTGTGTTTTTCATGGTGTCCAGGAGACAAGCTCCTACGTCAATGGCAAGGCTGTCCATAAGATCACTGTGATCCCAAAGGTGAACCTGACCGTCACCTGCACTGTCACCAACAGGCTGGGAGAAGACTCCAAGACCATCAATGTCTCCTCACGTGAGTAACTGTATAGATCACGTGAACATGTTTTTGGGTGGTATATGAGCAGCTATAGTCGACTACTTTTACACCAAATACAGTGAGACTCTATGTTTCTTTCTTTTTTTTTTAACATCTGCAGATTTTTTTCTTTTTTGCTTGGGGATGAAACACTATTTGTACAATTACTATAAGTATTTTCCAGTTCTGTTCCTTTTATTTGTTTTTATGAGTTCTAATTTGTTTTTTTTATGTTTGATTTCAGTTTTTAAGGAGAGTACTGAGAAAAGAGGTAAGCTCTTATTTTCTTTTACTCCTCTCTTTTCATTTTTAGGGGCTAATATTATCAAGGTTTCCTTTAAAAAGATTAAAGTCGTTCTCAGGTTAAACCAGATTTCATGAGGCGTTAAACTTGACTGTAACTACTACACTGCTTTCTCTTTTTAAGTCCAAACTGTTGACTCAGATCATCATTTTAGCTCAGACAGCACTGTGAATGAACACGCATACTTGTTTTTATTAATGTTACCATTATTTAGACTAGCTCATGTAGGGACCCTCTCACATTATCAAGACTACTTGATAGTTGTTTTATGACTGTGCAGCTACCATCTCCTAGTACACAGTATCCTTACTGCGCTGCTGATGTTTCCCGGGATATAAACAAAACACGGCTTGTGTTTCTACAGTAACGACCAGAATAAGTTCCTGCAGTATAAACACCAGAAGAAACAAAACCTGTGATATACAGTCTCATTCAATGGAACTTAATATTTGAGTATACTAAATCAGTGGAAGAAGGTGGTAACTGTGAGGCTGAAATGCAGTGTCTGATCCACAGAGGACACTTTCTGTGATTTTGGTCTCTATTTTGTCATATTGCTGTTCTTAGCGTCTTACTGAAAGCTGTTGCTGTCTGTTTTCAGGCTCTGAGGGGGAATCAGGGGATCAAGCAAAGGTCATCGTGGGTGTTATCGTCGGGCTTCTCATCGCAGCTGCTGTGGTTGGACTCATCTATTGGCTCTACATTAAGAATTCGAGGTAAAGATTTCATTTGAGTCCTTTAATGTGGGTCCTGGTGGCTTTGCTGTAGCTACCTCACAGCGGGAGCCTTCGGAGTCCAACATTTGTTTTACTATTTATCAACCTGTACATATCAAAGTGAGATATCTTTTCTAAAACATTGGGATATTAGAATTTCTAAGCGTCAAGTAGTCCCGCCTGATTACTTGACATTTCAGCAGGTGTCTGGTAAAATGTTTTTCCTCTGCTCTGAAGATGTGTAGGAGAGAGTTAGTCTGTACCACGTGTTCATGCAGTGTTTTCCATGTCTGTAATATCTGCAGGCAAGGAAGCTGGAAAACTGGTGAAAAGGAAGTAGGAACATCTGAGGAGAGCAAGAAACTAGAGGAGAACAATCACGCGGTTTAAAGCCACTCAGGCTGTGCTACATGCAATGAAAGAGGTAAGAACTGGCACCAACATGCATGAACAGGAGAGTAATCTCAGTACAGGCTAGTATTACCTGAAGACTTCTGGTGCTTTGGAAATTAAACATCCACACCTGCCACATTTCCTCTGAACTTGATTAAAAACCTTTAGGGTACGCTGTAAAAAGTTATGATTGATGTTATAAAGGTTTTATGAGCTACCATGCAATGAAGCAGATTTCACTGAGGGTAACTTCTGGCTTTCTCCCTTTATCAGAGATCGTCAGAGATATTATTTCATACAGAAGAAAAAGAAATTCACAGGCAGAAGTCTTTTTTCAGCTTTTTCAGAATTTCAGCAAAATTCTGGCTTAAAACTTTAGTCAATCAACTAAAATATTCCAACCTTATTTTTTTCCCTCTTTTTGTGGCTCCAATTGGTTTCTATAGTCTTAAAAGCATCTTCGCAGGTTATTGAATGGATGCAAAGCAGCAAATAAATCTCTCCCCCTTTTTTCATGTTGTAGAACAAAAAGCCAGTGTGGTACACCTTGTTTTTGCAGGTGACAGTGTTAATAGATACATGATGTTCACAGAACAGAAGTTATAAACCAGTCTGAAAGATTAAAACTTTTGTAGAACCACATGCTGCAATGCATCCATCTAATTAGTCTCCACACCTCACTCTGTCTGTGAATGAGTCTCCTTATTATGTGGTGAAATGATGCCCTCAAATTTGCACCCAAAAGCTGTAAAACTTTTGCTCTGAGTCGAACACAGCGTCCGTCATCTTTGACCTGAAAAAGGGCAGAGTAAGCAGCAGAGACCCTGTTAAAAATAAATGACCACCCCACATTACTGAGATGCCGATTCAGACGGGATTAATATTATCAAAGGATCCCTGTGTGTCCTAAAAAATGTGGGCGATTTGCCCTGGAATTTTCACTTCACAAATTGCCAACACGGTTGATTCGCAGAGGAATAAAAACTCAGACTTCCTCCACAGTTTTTACAAATATCCAGAAGTACACAGATAATACTCACCCTGTGCAAATACTCAAGCTGTATACTGCATATAACACTTCTTGTTTGTTTTTGTGAGTTTGGCCTTCAGTCCTGTTACTTGGTACACATTAACCTCTATTATATGTTGTATGTTGTTGCATATGTAATCTGTAAATGTCTGCTGATTTGCCATCCTTATCCCTGACTAGTTCAGTGTTTGTTCAGTTCTGCTCAATGACAGCTTGTTCTGTGATTGGAAGAACAGCAGAGCTTTATTTTTCAGTTTAGGACAGAGCACATCATCTTCCTGACTAAACCGTTAGTTCGGTTAAACCTGACTAATCATATTACTCCAGAGGCCTGATGCATTAGATTTATTACCAAAGCCAAGTGGACACACAAAGACAGCTCTTTCTGTTGGAATAATAATGTCGTCCACACACATACTTCCAACTTATATGTCCCAATTGTTACTTTACTACTTTTTATTTATTATTACTTGTAATTACTTAGAGTAATCATGCGCGCAGTGTGGCAGCTCCTTGTTTGCAGTATGTTCACAGTCTTTCTTACAATATTTCTATCCATTGCAATACATCTCTTTTTCCCACCACTTTGCCTGATCATATGTTAGATAAATGCTGTGAACATGTGAACACATATCCACGTTGCACTGGGGTTGACCTCTGACTTATCCTCCTTATCAGGTCAAACCGGTTTGTCCAAACTTTTGGTTTATGACTTAACGTGCAAAAATACAACCCCAGTTCCCAGAGTTGGGACACTGTTTGAAATGTTGATAAAAAAGTGACCCTTCATTGTTTTTATAGAAAATGGCACAGAGATAAATTATCAGATGTTGAAACTAGTTTAAATTTGATAACAGCAACAGGTTTCATAAATGTGGAGAAAAGTTTAACAAATAACTGAGATAGATGTGAAATACTTAAGAAAATACCTTTAGAAACACCTTTTATGTACCTAGATAAATTTGCAGAAGGCTATTGACACGACCAGGTCTGAAAAGGGCATCCTAGAGTCCCTGAGATGTAAAGATGGAGAGAGATTTATCGCTCTTTGAAAGACTCTGTAAGCAAATAGTTTTACAGTTTCACAATAATGTTCTTGAGAGTAGATTTGCAAATATTACATCCAATTCAATCTGATCCACTTTATTCATAGAGCACATTAAAAAAAAATAATTTAGTTTAGCAAAGTGCTGCACAGTGCAGTAAAATCATAATATCATTAAAGTTTCAGAGAATCTGAAGAAATCTTTGAACAAAAGAGACAAGGCCAAAAACCTCGACCAGATGGCTGTGGAAAACAGTCATGACTTTGTGGTGGAAATCCCTGCATGGGCTTAAAAGCCTTTCCAAGCTTGCGAACACAATTAGTCAGTCAGTCAGTCAGTCAGTCAGTCAGTCAGTCAGTCAGTTAGTTAGTTAGTTAGTTAGTTAGTTGCTGGACTAACAGTTGCAGGTTTTCCACACAGATTATCAAGGTTACCATGCATTATCAAGGTCCCTTTGACCCTTTGAGATGGACTAAGGAGAAAACTTTGTAACATTTATTTCAAACAATCAGGTTTTAGAGCAAGAAATGCTGCCATCAAGACAATCCCTTTTGAAGAAAGACGTTGCATATTTCTGCAAGACAGTGCAAAACCACATTCTGCAGGTATTACAACAGTGTGCCTCCTTAGTAAGAGTCCGATGGCTAAACCGGACTGTTCGCAGTTTTGACTTGTCACCCCTAAAAAACGATGTATTCACCGCATCATCAACCAAAAAGACTGTCAAAAGAGGTCCTGAACTGTTGTGAAAGTGAAATCCTATATCAGGAAAACACTTCACTTTCAAAACTCCAGAAACTGGTCTCGGTTTTGCAGAGTATTGTGTTAAAAAAAGTGATGCAACAGGACGGTAAACATGCCTCTGGCCCATCTCAATTAAAACATGTTGCTGGCATCATTTTTAAAGTGAGCACATATTTTTCAAAAAATTAACAAAAAAATTGTTTCAAGTTTTATAAATGGTCTTTGCAGAAATTTCAGTGAAATATTTGCCCTAAATCATCTGCAAACCGTCAAATTCTGTTTTATCAACATTGTACTCAGCATCCCAACTACTGTTGGATCGGGTTTGTTTGATATGAGCACCTTTACTTTGTTTTCCTGATAAGAATATTAAAGCATGCTAAGATGCGAACTAGGATGGTTAAAAATTGTGCACATTGTGTCAGTCATAAAGCAGCATTATCTAGTTTGATAAGGTATGATTATACAAGACTGAAGGCCAAATCCAGGATCTCTTTTTAAAGAAACTGGAATTGCACCATGAATGAAACTGTTCTTGTGTGTTGTTGTTGTTGTTGTTGTTGTTGTTGTTTTTCTGTCTAAGCATGTTGTGATAAAAATTTACATGGCCCGCTTATCTAATTTTTCCATTTTTTTTTTTTTGGAAGGGGGCAAGTGAAAGCAAACTTGCAAAACCAAACACACAGACTTCCTGTTGGCTGCTGACGCACACAGCCAGTCTCCACTTAAGAAGAACCAAGTCCTGCCCACAGCCTGCTGTCCCACCGCACTGTTTGAAGTCTGCACTGAGACTGCCGCGTGTCACTGTATCATTCTGTGTTTTTGTGTCCCTAATGAGTACTGCTTTTTTGACTTGTTTTTGTTAGAGCAAAACTGGCTGTATGGTGGGGGGGGTCTTCCTTTAAGAACTTTAAGGTTTGTTAATCAAAGAATGTCTATTGTTCATTTTTCAATCCTAAGATTATGTCTTGGCTGAGAATACCAAAGATTTCACTTTTTTGTGCATTGTGTGGGGAAGCCTTTGTGTGGCTTTACTCATAGAAAAAGACTCTTCACTGCTGTTTAACCCAAACTTTTTGCTTAGATCAAGGATAGCCTCAACATAACCCTACTGCTTTATAAAAACACTGGGAAATGGACAAATTCTCAACAGATAGTCCCATCAAAGGACCCTTGTAGTGGTTAAAGTAAAGACTGACTGCAACTGCTCCCATAGAAATAACTAAGACATATGTTTACATGTAAATTTGACATCTGCTCACGTAGAATTCAGACACGGTGTTTGTGTGAGTGACTTTTTTGTTGTTTCAAGTGGGACTTTTTTCTCCCTTTATTTTTGTTTTTTTGTAAAAGTGCAACAACTTCGACATGCACGGTTATTTTGTTCTTCATGAGTTCAAGCTTTGATTTAGTGTGATACACTGTCATCTTCATGTCTTCACCACTATGTTCTGAGCTTTCGAAGTCCTCTCTTTTATTTGAAACATTTTCCTGTTGCCAGTTCTGGACTACATTTTCTTTGTGTGTGTTTTTGTTGTATTTATAGTTTCCATATAACTCAGCTAAATGGCAATACTGCAGCTTGCAGGACAATCTTTCCAAGCCTCGAGTGTTTGTAAAGTTACTGAATGGTTAAGAAGTTACAGTTCAGTAATTTAGACGGGCTTCAGGTTTTATTGTTCAAACGTGGCTTCAGGCTCAGTGTTGTGAAGGATGTTGCATACAGAAGACAGAAGCTGAGGTTCAGAGACCGATGAAGATGCAGTGTTCATTCTGTTAACCCTAAAATACAAAACCCAAAAGGCCGATCAGTTTGAGTTTGACACTTTTACATTTTTGGTATTTTTGTTTCTTTTGATGGTTAATTTGAAAAAGAAGCATCAACGTTTTTACCTCAGTCCTACATATGTCAACATTTCTCAGAACTTCAGTGGATAATATCAACGTTGTATAAGAGCCTCCTTTTATCAATAAAAACTTTAATGTACATTAAAAGTCATGACTTTATAAGAAGAAAACTGAAAAAGTGGCAAATTTACAAGATTTAACTTCTTCAAGTTAAATTCTTCAAGTTAAATATGTCATTTTTTGAGAATCAAGTCATGTAGTTGGGATAAAAAGGTCCTGATTTAAGGCTGTACGTCAAATCGAGGTGGAAGATCGGAGGCGCAGCCAGC